TTCCATTATCAACCACCATTAAACTGTAAGTAAGTAGGTATAATATCGATCGATCGTGGCAAGAAGTTTATTGATCATTTTTATTGATTATTCCTTCTGTCTTTTAAAGCATTCACAACTATTCGATGTGATATGGTCTAGTAAATGCTTCCTATGGACTGAGTGATATAAATTTTTTTATAAAAATATTTTAATCTGGTTGACAGAGTATGCTGCGCTCATTTATTAAAAACATTAGTACATGGTAGTACAACCTGAAGTCACCAATGGTTAGAGACCTTGAATAACATGACTCAGAATCGTTTGCAATGGCGTAGGTGCATCCACTCTTTGTGTTCTGTCAAATTCTAACCTTCTGAATTCCTCATCATCTCTGTCTTTCTCCTTCTAAATTTATCCCACTGAATTATACTTTTCGAATCATATCTTTGCTCCCTAATCTTCTCCATCACTGCTAATACTTCTACTATCGCTATCACTCTTTGATTTGAACTGACATTTGCGTCTCTTTGGTGATGTGGTATGACAACCTGAACTGATGTACTTAGTACGAAGTTCTGCCTTATATCTGTCCAGTACTACCACCTGACTAATTACTTATCTAAATTTTTACATTTTAACCCGCAGTGAACTTTCTGTCAATCAATAAAGACTTTTAAATAGTCAGTCAGTCAGTTACAACGTAGAACTTCGTACGTGCGTACATTGGTTTTAAGTTTCATGCCACATTAACACGAAGAGATCGAATTGTCAATTCAAATCGCATAGTAGTAGAGGTTGTAGGAGTATTAGCAGCAATGGAGAAGATTAGGGAGAGAAGATATGATTCGAGAAGTATGATCCTGTGAAATAAATTTAAGAAGAAGACGATAAAGGTGATGGGGAATTAAGAAGATTAACATTTGAGAGAACACAAAAAATGAATACATCTTTGCCATTGCAAACGATTTACAACGGTTAGTGGGACATAGATGGAATTAAAGCATGACTACGTTGTTACGCGCTGATTGGCTAATTTCCTATCTAATCAGCGCCTGATCGAGTCTTGGAGAACAGGGTAGAAAGTTCTCGTATTTTTACACATTTGAAATCATCAATCAATCATTGTTAGACCACCATTAGAAACCTGGAAGCACTGGACGGTCGTTTCGTCCTGGTATGGGACTCCTCCGGTGGTCCGATGGTTAGGCGTTCACGCTTAATACCGAAGGTCCCGGGTTCGATTCCTGAGAGGAGCAGGAGTCGTGGATGCGCACTGCCACCGATGAGTCCCATACCAGGAAGAAATGGCCGTCTAGTGCTCCCAGGTTTCTAATGGTGGTCTAACAATGATTGACTGGTGATTTCAAATGTGTAGAAACACAAACCTCCAAAACTCTGCCCCAAAATTCTCGTATTATTAGCTGCGTGCTGATTAGCTGAATCTAATCCAGTCGACCACGTGAATTTCTACCCAGAAGCTTCTCATGTAAATGCTATAAATAAACTAACGTTGTATCTATTTTTGGTCTTCGCCTTCGCCATCACCCTTGGCTTCTTATTTCCATTTAACCTTGCTATTTGGAATATAATCTTTTCCTGTTCAACCGTGTTTTTGATTCTTTGGAACTTGTCCAGTGTATTGTGGTCGAGAACACTAAGCAATGGGAATTAGCTGGGAATCATTTAAGCAAGCGTTACAAATAACAACCGACATTCATAGTCTCTTACCATCGTTTTTGCCAATAGTCTCACGGAACCCCAACAAGGTAATCTACACTTAATAACATGGCTCACTCTCACTTGCTAACGAATTCATGGATTTGTGCCATGTTTCTGTTTGGCCGCCTACAGATTTCTTCCAACCTACACCTACATCACGTATCATCGCTCGATGTGGCAGTAGGTAGTTGTCCCATCCAAATCAACTGATGAAGTTTCATTACTATGTCAATTCATCCCCTATCATTACCTAGTACTCGTTTCCTAACACCAGCATTGCTTACTCAGTTGTCCCAGGATGAACAAGCAATGCTCAGAAGACGCCTATAATGGAATACTAGTAACTTACAAATATTCTTTATTCTTAGTGGTCATGTTAGACGATAACAAACTGTTTCCTGATCGAAAAATTCACATAAAAATCCGAATTACCTGTGCTCACTAGTGACTAGCTTCGTGAGTAATCTTCTCCGAGTTCTAGTGGGAAGACGTGACCAGTGAAGTTCAACCTGTTCGGGTGTAGGCAGTGTCAGTATTAAAAATAAAAGATAGGCTTCTACTTTCATAAACAATTTCATTGACTATGCACATATTTTGTGATCAAAATTTATGCAGATAGATATACAACAACAGTATGAGATATTGATTTCATGTGTGAAACACTCACAGTAAAAAAGTTTATGAGATTTAATAACAACTGATCGTTAAATTTGACTAGTAATCATGAATTTACTACACACACTGATCAATTAATTATTCATAATAATATCAATAAAACTCAACAATCTCAACAACCTTACAGTCTCTCTCTCTCCATTTGTGGTGCGCGCTACTTATAAGTGGTAAGAAATGACGCGAGTGTAAACGTAATATCTGGCAGCAGAAGATGGGGGAAGATCAAGAAAGGGAGGAAGAGTGGGGGAACACAATGGAATTTGTATGAAATGCATGAATAAGTGAAATGTCAGACAATGGATTGATGATGGATTGAAGATTTGCAAATTAACGATTTACGATATGGTTTTCCTATTTTACTGAGTAACTCTGTAATTTTCGTTAAATACAATTCGGTTGGCCTCACCTGTGTTCTCCTTCACTACATATTTAGCAAATAATATTCAGCCTTCTAAATTGTACATATTGTAAGGATCAACCCAACCATACAACAAAACTGTTGAGAACGTTGGATCCCCTAGAACTCACTTGATAAATGTCCTAATTTTGGATTTTATGTTTCAGTGCATGGGCTGATTATTTGACCTTGGGATTAAACTTTTCAACCGAAAAACACTTGACTGTTATTGGTTGATGTATTATTTGAGTAGGCTATTTTTGTGGCTCTCTCAAAGATGTTTCTATCATGTATAAAGAAACGCGATTTGTGTGGCTATCGACTTGAATGAGTCACCATTAGAAAACTGGAAGCACTGGATGGCCGTTTCGTTTCTAATATAGGACTCACAAGTGACAGTGTGCATCCACGACTCCTGCTACTTCACAGGATCCGAACCCAGGACCTTCGGTCTTGATTCCGAGCGCTTAACCTCTGGACTACCGAGCCGGTATCTAACAGTGTTAATGTCTAACTCTGATCAATCTAAGGATTTTGCGCAAACTCACCCATTGTCTTCGGTAGGTAACTGCCTACATCCGATAGAGTTAAACTCCACTGGTCACATCTTCTCACTAGAACTCGGAGGATTTCCTCACGAAGCTAGTCACTAGTGAACATATCTTTGTCTATTGTCTTGTGGACACCATTCAGGTAGTCTACACCTACTAACATGCCTCATTTCAATTGTCATTAACCTAGATTGATCAAAGTTAGACATTAACACCTTTGGATACCGGCCCAGTTTTGGTCTAGAAGTTAAGCGTTCGAGCGTAAGACCGTAGGTGCTGGTTAGCAGGTGTCATGGATACGTGCTACTGATAAGTCCCATACTCGGACGAAACGGCTGTCTAGTGATTCCAGGTATCTAATAATGGTCTATCAATAATTCATTCATGATTTCAATTTGTAGGTAAACGTGTTTGCTTGTCGGTTGTTTTAAATGAACAAAACTACTCATGTATATTGATCGTCTGAAACCGTCCTATTAATAGTTAGGACTACAGTTGATCAACCTGTACTAATTTGCTTGAAATTGCCCTCTTTAGATGACAAGTACTAGAGTTGGATAGTGGCTAGAAGTGGAATCCATGGCGCATGTTTTGTCCCTTTTGTGACTCATCTGCATCTCAGAGCTGACGTTCACTGCAAGACAATCTAAAATACAAGTACATCCTACTGAATATTCAAAAATAGATTGAAACATCTGTCCTGGATTCCATCATAAGTCCTATCTACTTCTAGGTTGTAATTCAAATTATTTGACTATAATGTTTATTCTTTCCTCATAGAAATTCTCATTTTCAACACATTGACTATCACTTGTAAATTAATCTTGAAATCAAAACATAAAATCCATTTATCTATGTCATAATCAGTTGACTTGAAAGAAGAATTTACTCAGTTTGTTGAATTTTTAGTCAAACAACAATGATATCAGCTAATGAATACATATTTGAATGTCATTTCTTCCAGAAATAATAATAAAAATCCAAATAACCCGCATTATCTAAAATCATACATTTAAACAAAAAGAATTTGGTTCAAAATATTTTCATTGATACAACATTAATAATAATAGTAATAATAATTTACAAAACGCCCCAAAAAAAATAGTTAGGTATAGATTTTATTTCAAGTAAATGTGAACTAGAAGTAATTAAATTTTGAAATTTATAGGATTGAATTTTGAATAGAGATTGTGTATTTAATAAAAAGCAAGCACCGCCAACTCCGCCCCGGGCCGCTTCACACCCACCAGCTCCACCACGGCCTCAAACTCCTCCAGGAAGCTCCGCAAATCTCCGTCCTCCAACTCCTTCGGCCACGAGAGCTCCTTCCTTCGTGCAGGCAGCGACACCAAATGTAGTGAACGAGAACAAAGGTGAGGCAACCGGATTGTATTTAACGAAACTTACAGAGTTACTCAGTAAAATCGGAATACCATATCGTAAATCGTTAATTTGCAAAATATCAGTTCATCATATCAAACTGGACTGTTCCTGTTGCAAAACATCAATCCATTGTCTGACATTTCACTGTTCATACGTTTCACACAAATTCCATTGTGTTCTAACTCTTCCTCCTTTCTTGATCTTCCCCCCTCATCTTCTGCTGCCAGACATTACGTTGACACTCACGTCATATACTACTTATAAGTAGCTCACACCACAGTACAACATCGTGCATGAATCAGTTGAAACTAGACATAACTACTAGTATGTATGTTGTTGACTCAGCGGTCAGCGGGTGAAACATTCACACATAGGATCGAAGGTCTGCAGTTCTCTTTCTGAATCGATATCCAACGGTGTTAATGTCTCTAACTGCAATCAATTCACGATATTTCGTGATTGTAACCCATACATTGTCTCAAGTGGGTAACTGCATCACACTCAATACGGTCGAAGTTTCACTTAGAAATCCTAGAATTTCTTGATGAAACTAGTTACTATTTGAGTATATGATAATTGTCAATATATTGTTGTGGATAGTTTTGAGTTTTATTGAAACTATAACTACCAAAGACAAATGGGTGAGGTCGCGCAAAATCCCTAGATCAATCAGAGTTAGACATTAACACCGTTGGATGCCAGCCCAGTGGTCCGATGGTAAGACGTTCGCGCGCAATACCGAAGGTCCCTGGTTCGAATTCTTCGAGGAGCAGGAGTCGTGGATGCGCACTGCCACTGATGAGTCCCACACCAGGACGAAACGGCCGTCCAGCGCTTCCAGGTTTCTATGGTGCTCTAACATTGATCGATTCATGGTTACAAATAAAACGTTAAACTACAATAATATGTTCTAACTGTATTAAAGTTTACTAAAAACTATCTTATTACAGTTGATCTGATGTATAAATTTAACGCCAATGCTATGAAAGATGACAGAACTTCAACAGTTGAAAAAAATCAATCGGAACAACATAGTTCCACGCAAAATGTCACATGCATTATAACGTATTATCAGCATTCCAAGTATCATAACTTTAATCAATGAATAGTTCCGCCTAGCCAAAAAACAACTTTCACTATCCGATGTTATTAACTTGGATTCATTCATACAAGCTATTAGTAGTCATATTCATTTGAAATTACAAACACACCGATCGATAAATCAATCGTCAACCGACCAATCAGAAATTAGGGCGTTTGTTCAAACACCAATTATTATTTAATTAAATAAATGAAATGGCGTGAAATATAACTACTATAAAAATTAATTTTTTTTTTAATTATTAACTGATTTATTATTCTCAAGATTAATAATACTACTAATTATTATTATTATCATAATAATAATTATTATTATTATTACTACTATTTACATTACGTTAAATTTACAATGAAAAATGTAAGCTACTTGTAATAAATAATATGTACATGAATGTGTATTTTATGCCAAGAAATTTAAATTTTTTTTCGTAAAAATGTAGTTTTCATTATGCTTGTTTTTTATCCTTGACCCTTCAAATGTTGTGTTTATTGATTGACGTTTCTTATGGGTATGACTATATAGTGGATGCAACGAACAGTAGATTTGAAATGTTGAAAAATATTACGTGGTAAACAAAAATATTATTATTTGCAACGTAGAACTTCGTACATATGTGTACATAGGTTCATGTTGCCATACCACATTATTAGCACACAGAGACACAAATGTCAGAAATCAAATCCCATAGTGATAGTAGAGGTATTAATGGTAATGAAGAAGACTAGTAGGGTTTGAAGATATTATTATTCAAGAAGTATAATTCAGTGAGATAATGTTAGAAAGACAAAGGGGTAGAGGTGTTGACCAATCCAGAAGATTAGGATTTGAGAGAACTCAACGAATGGATGCACTTGCACCATTGCAAACGATTTTGAGCCATGTCGTTGTTCAAGGTCTCTAACCATTGGTGATGTAGACGGGTGATGAGTTGTGTGTAATATAGGACGAAACATCTGTTGAATACTCTCTCTGGTTCATATTATTTCAAGACTTATTTCATCTTGAAATTGAAGTGATCTCCATAAACTAACCTGGTGATGAATATGTACTTGTTGTACGATAGATAGATAACCTTGTAGGAGAGGAAGTATTTTTAACTTGTGATTCATTGACTAGAAGTTGATTGTTTAAACCAATTATTCATTGATCTACTGTTTCGAAATGTATAAAACTTGCACTGATATTGACCTTGAAATATAGTAATACTTACTGACCTTGATAATTCTAAAGTACTAATTGAAATCATCAATCGATCAATGTTAGACCATGATCAGAAACATGGAAGCACTAAAACACTGCCATTTCATCCTGATATGGGATTCATCAGTGGCAGTGCACATCCACGATTCTTGCACCTTATAGCAGGACTTGAACACAGGATAATCGGTCTGGTACACGAATGCCTAGCCTCTGGACCACATAGCTGATATCTAACGGTGTTAATGCGCTACCTCATACACTGTCTTCAGTAATTAATCTCTACACCCCGAACAGGTTGAACTTCACTGGTCATAACTTCTCACTAGAACTCAGAGAAGGCTCCTCAAGGAGCTAGTCATTAGTTAGCACTAAAATCGTATTCAAATCATTGAAGTAACTCACATAAGTGTGTAAAAGTTAATTTATTCAGAAGTTATTCAGAAATTGACTGTATTTCTGTTTGTTTTTAATGAATCAGCCTACATTTTTTGTGACCGAAATTCATATCTAATTCAAATACATCACTGCTGAAATTCCTATCATCTTGATTCAGTAGTGAAAATGAGGTTTCACGCTTTTCATAACGAATTATTTAGATAAATCCTGTCGAATGCTGTGAATAATGTCTTCTGGTAGCTAAACTACTGACTTGAACTTCCTACATGGGTATTACAGTTGTAAAATAATCTGGCTTTCTCTATTGCTCTGAAAGTTTACTGATTTATAAAAGATTCCTATGTAGGCTGCTTATAGCATGTATAAGATTATTGTACACAACAGCATTTTTTGACATTTAAAAAAATGTGTAATCTCACTAACAGCATGTTTACTAGCAGAGATGAACGGTGGCTAACAGTGGAATGTAGGTAGCTGACAAGTCCCAAACAGAACGAAACACGCAGTCTAGATTCCACTGCTAACCACCATCCATCTCTATCTATCTCTATCGAGGCGATCTGTACAAGATGCAAGTAAACTAAAATAAACTGATCAATGCATATTTACATGTTCATCATTTTTACTTGTTTGTTTTTTCTAGTCAACAAGACAAAAATCATCACGTGTCTGTCATCGAGTACAAAACAACAATCGGAATCCAATGGAAAAACAATCAATCAAATCAAGATCGAAAACCAATCGACTACCAGCATCACTTAAACAAAATGAAGAACCATGTAAAATTGAAGTTCTGCCCACTAAAATAAAATCACAGTAAGTTATTTTTACAATGAAAATGTGAAGACTGATCAATGTTAGACATTCACACCATTGGATGCTAGCCAGTTCAATGCTGGTCTAGAGGTTAGGTGTTCGTGCTCAGAACCAAAGGTCCTGGGTTCGATTCCCATCTGAGAGTAGTAGAAGTCGTGTGCGCACACTTCCACTGATGAGTTCCATACCATAGGACGAAATGGCCGTCTCGTAGTGCCTCTTCGAGGTTTCTAAGGCTGATGACTTAACAATAATGATCGATTTATGATCTCTGTAATAAATATAATGACTCTTACCATATATGCCATGTTGTTTGTTTGACTGAACGGCGTGACCTTGACCCTGGTGGACTTGACTTGTATGATGATGAGATTGTGAATTCTGTCTCCTAAATCAGACATGAAATGGAATTCATCTCTCTCTCTCTACACACACACACCACATAGAAAGCGCGATCCGATGGATAATCGATCCGTCAAAAACAGACTGACAGTAAAATGACCAATCATCAGAGAGAGAGAGACAGAGATACAATTGAATAGCTTAATATGGTGAACGACGAGTAAAACCTCGACCAATCAGAATACGACAGCAGAAAAACAATGAGCTGTGACCTTGAGTCAATAAACTCTCACCATAGTTAGGATCAATAGCTAGCTGGTTTAAATGGGAAATAATTTTGTACTCCTTCTCACTTTATTATTGTTGGATAAAATTAGGACGATTTATGTATTGCCAAGATGTATTCTCCGCTAGAGAGGATAAGATATCTATGACATCATTGTATGTATGTCTCACTAAGATCCTAACGAAATCTTTGAGCTGTAGATTGACATTCAACCAACTCTGTCTTGGGGCCTTTCTTTGCAGTTTTGCACGTTTGCTAATCATTCTTTCCATTCCTGTCTGCCTCTTATTTCAAGCTCAATGTATTGATTGGTCTGTATGTTTTCCTTTGGCCTTGAGCATACCATGTTAGGACTTGCGTCGCGATACAGTTAGAATATTTTCGGCAACATCCAACGCCTTGTGTAAACAACTGTATATAAACATCTATAATTGTCGTAGCTCTCATGGTTTCTATTTCATACAATAGAACGGTTTCGACATTTATCTTAAAAATTCTGATGTTACTAGACAGACAGTTGTTTTGAGTTCCAGATGTTCTTCAATTGTAGAAATGTATGTTGAGACCTACTTCTGCAAAGGCTGATGTTACATTAACCGTCTTCTCTTGCATTTATTGTTCTCTGTGGAATAGAAGACCTAGATCATTTGTTGTGAAGTCCAAATCGTTCAACTGCATCCATATGTCCATTGTGTTATTATATGCTTCCCCTGAGATGCTTAGGTCTTTATAATCCAGTAGACTACCAGAAGAAAGAGAAAGGTTGAGAGTAAGCAACCTTGTTGACACCGGTCTTCACTTGGAAATAAGTCTGTGAACTGTCCTCCATACACGTCGCTGTGGTTTGATCAATCACTTTTGCGAACAGAGTTAACATCCTTACTCAATGAGGTGCTGTTTAAGTGTACTTTCATTAATAGGTCGTACTGTAATATGAGTTTCCTTTTGAAAAGCTTCAAATGTAAATTTACTCTAAAGAATGATTCATGATTATCTTCGGGAAAATTCTCTGAAATCTTTTTACAGTATGTAGTCCGTGTATTTTTACATCGAGCCCGTTGGGATTGTCCGAAGTGTCCTTCGGACAAATTAACTAATCCATTCTGCCTGAGTTACTGTTCTCCCGTTTTTCAACCTTGTGTCTATTATTCGCTTACATCTTGGTTGCGTTTATTCGAGCGTGTGTATGTGCTGTCTGTCTGCATGAACGATATGACAAAAGTCACTAACAACTAAACTGAACCGTGCTGATCGATGTAAACTACGTGGTTGAGGTCTATGAGACAATCGTAACTGTGGTGATTAGAGACTTTGAATGATATAGCTCAAAATCGTTTTCAATGGTGCAGATGCATCCATTGTTTGTCTTCTCTCAAATTCTAATCTTCTGAATTCCTCATCACTTTTATGTTTCGTTTTTGAAATTTATTTTACTGGATTATACTTCTTGAATCATATCTTCAATCTCTCATCTTTTTTTGATTACCGCCAATACTCCTACAACTTCTACTACTATGCGATTTGAATGAACAGTTATTCTATCTCTCTGTGCTTGTACGTTGTTGACTGACTGACACTCTTCTATGGGCAGTTGTTGTGTCTGGAACATTAGTCTTTCATCCAATGAAATCACAGATGATCCGGTGTCTCGGAATATATCACACATACTTAATCAAACGTTGCAAAATATTGCCGATAATTCGTCGTTCGTCGTTTCGCCTGTTACCCCTAATGGAGCATAGACCGCCCACCAGTTTTCTCCAGCCTACACTGTCCTGGGCTTCCCTTTCTAGTTCTTTCCAGTTTTTGTTCATTCTTCTCATGTCTTTCTCTATTTCTCGGCGTAATGTGTTCCTCGGCTTTCCTCTTTTATTTTGACCTTGGGGGTTCCGTGTGATGGCTTGTCCTGTGACACAGTTGAGTGCTTTTCGCAGTGTGTGTCCTATCCACCAGTTCCACCGCTTCTTCCTGATTTCCTCAATTAATAACAGGATCGTATGAATTATCAAAGAATGTACATTTTACAGAAAAGTAGATCCATCCTTGAAATCATGAATGAATAATTGTTAGACCACTATTCGAAATGTGGAAGCACTGAAAGACGTCCGTTTTGTCCTGTGAGTAGTAGGAGTCATGGATGCACACTGCCACTGATGAGTAGTCCCACACCAGGACGAAACGGCTGCCTTTCAGTGTTTCTTCTAGGTTTCTAATGGTGGTAGTCTAGCAATGATTCATTCAAGATGTCAAGTTAAAACAGCGATCTTTTAAAACAAATAAAAATTGATTCAAAGAAGCATCTAAATACTTCGACACTAGACGAATTAGGGAATGTGTGAAAGGGACAAGAACAGTACACGACTGCCCAAACCGAAGCAAGTCGTTTTCTTAGTGGATCACTCAATTAGCCCACCGTCTACAGGTCTAGTCTACAAATTATTGAGTGGAACAACGTTAAACAGTTCAGTCTCATGATTGCTAGCGACAGACAATAGGTTGGGACATGTGTTGCGTACGCCTAACCACCGACTGCCTAGACGAGCTTTGTTTTGTAGTGTAGCAGTAGGTTGGTAGAAAGTTAGGGGCGGCCAGACCAAAACATGGCAGCAATCCATTGACAAGTGGTCTGAGTCATGTCGGTAGTTGTCGACTACCTGCTTGGGATCCGCGAGATGATCGAGATCGATGGTTAGAGACCGTGAATGATATGGCTCAAAATCGTTTGCAGTTTCGCAGGTGCATTTATTCTTTGTATTCTCTCAAATCCTAATCTTCTGGATTCTTCAACACCTCTAGTTTTGCCTTCCTAAACTTATCTCACTGAATCGTACTTCTTGAATAATATCTTCTAATCCTAACCTCTCCCATTACTTCTAATACCTTTACTACCTCTACTACTATTGGATTTGAATTGACAATTACATCTCTGTGCTGATGTGGTATGGCAACACGAACTGATGTACTTATGTACGAAGTTCTACGTTGCATCTGACTAACTGACTGAATGAGTCACACACTATTCGTTCTATCAAGATTCTGGAACTTATGTGTACCATTAGTTTGTTTTCAACTCATTTAGGTGAATCCTCTGTACCCATCAACCTGGGTTTAATTCCTCAAAGGACATTCACTTTCTGACCTTTTAGTTGAGTAAACAAGACACTAGTTAAGATATTTGTGACATTGGCTGTATACGTGCGGCCTTATGAGAGTATTTCAAGAGAAGGATAGTAAGCTTTCATCACTCTCGACCGTACCAATGTAATTATTGACAAATTAAGATTACTTTTTTTAAACTTACAACTTCCAGATCCACTGGTTTAGTTTACGATGAACGTATGCTTAAACATAAACATGAATGGTTTATTGAAGAACAAGAAAGTCCACGTCGAATCTCACAAGCATTTCATCGTTGTTTACAAGAAAATTTAATTTCACGATGTATACGAGTACCGGTAAGTAAGTTTTGTTTACATTTCTGTACTAGTCAATAACTCACTCATCAGTAAAACATATTTACAATCTTGGAAGAGTTGATGCTGAATGTGGAATTCAAACCTGAATTACTTAGCATCATGGTCTAAGATAGAGGTCACTAATAAACTGTTCGAATTCCAAGTGAACTTCATTCAAATACTGTTTATTAGTTGTACGCTATTTTTGTCACAAAAGTAGAGTAATGTGATGTGACAACTTGAACTGATGCATGTACATACGGAATTCTACGTTGTAGCTGACCAACTGACTGATTTTTGTCAAACTAGTTACAGGTTCTAGAAATTTCCGTCTGACTCTTTTCTCACTAGAATATTTGGTAAATGGAAGTCAGTTAGATCCAGGACGATTATCCCAATAACGAATCAACAGCTGGATGAACCTGAACCATACTGTTGATGCTCATACAAGGAGACTCAAACATTAAAATCGCTGCTACTCATTGTGCTACTGAAAGACACATATAAACAGCAATTCTGATTAAACAACAATGGGGAAATACAAGTTCTTATCGATTGATATCTTAAGCTTATTTGAAAGTTTTTGTAGTCGTTTTTAACTTGTATTCATCAGTAGAGCTACAAGTGAAGACCATAATATTAAATTGTGTAACTGTCACACTACTCGGAAGTGTGTACCTAAGACCTTGACAATAACTGAATGAAGAAAGTTTACGCCCCAAGATTAAACCTTAGTTCTAAAGTGCTTATATGAAATCCTCTAGCGATACAGAGAGCCATTTTATAGTCAAGAGTTTAAGCGTTTGCAAACGAGACCGAAGGTCCTATGTTCGATTGTTGCGTGAATGTTCACAGACACACACTGTTGATGAATCTCATGCTAAGACAAAATAGCCATTCGGTGCTTGCAGATTTCCAGTTGTGGTCTAATACTGATCATTTCATGATGTCAATGAAACTTTATACTTCTAAATGATCGATTATTTTCAAATAATCTAATTTTGAATGTTCTGAGTTTAATCTAATGTTAATGAGAAGGTTTTTGAGTGTTCATTTAACGTGAACGCCATTGTACGATCAAGAGTAGGGAGAGTTCCCTGTAACTATCGAAATGCTCTCATATAGCCACGTGTAAATAGCCACTATCAAGGAAATCTTACTCACTTCCTTGTCATATCACAGGTTCCGTTTTCGCAAATTGAAAGGATGAAAAGTGAATGTCTGGTGGGGAATTATAAACCAGGTTGACAAGTACAGAAGACTTTCTTGATAGATTCTTTCTTCTCCATAAGTACTGTATTGTGTCCTTTGTCCACAGAAAAAGGTACAGAAGATCCATTTAGGAGAGTTGGAAAACCCTCATTCCATATTAATGGTACACCTGAGCTCCAGCATATTTTCAAGTTACTGTTGAATTTATAGTTTCTATCAGAGTGTAATTTTAGTTCAGGAATTATGATAAGCAATGGACAATAGAATCTTGCCAGTTGTTCATCAGTGTTCATCCGCCAAATTCCACTCGATGAGCGAACTCGGAATTCACAACCTTTAATCCAGTTAGTTTTAGCATATTTCATTAAAATCAATGTTAGACCACAATTGTAAATATGAGAGTATTAGATAGTTGTCTTGTCTGACTCCCAAGCAGTATGCAATCACATCTCTCTATGCAGGAATTGAACCTAAGGACCTACCGTCTCGTTCACGAACTCTTGATCTTTTGTCCATTTGAGTCAATATCCAACGGTATTAATGTCTTCCTTTAATCAGTCTACACTATGGTCCACTATAATCCACTTTATTAAGTGAGTCACTGCTTCAAACTCGAAACGCTTGAGCTCAACTTGCTGTCACTTCTCATTAAGACTTCTAGAATTCTCTCATGAAGCTAATCACTGATGAATACATGATAACTGTCAATATATATAGTTGTGAAGATTAATGAGTTTCATTGACAATTTCAAACTTCAGTTGATTTTTCATAGTGTGAAACAATACCTCACTGATGATACCAACGTTATCGATCTCTTCGTTCACATAAATAAATTCCACTGATGATTGGTCATTGAGAAGACTAGTTCTAACTATATATATATATATATATATCCTGAATCTGATTCACGGTTTCATTTTAAATAACCTTGGAAAAAATCGATAATTAGGTATAAGGACTTATAACAAATCAAACTGATTGTCGATAAATCAATAAACTAGTTGTATTTACATACAATTCTATCGACTTGTTTCATTCGAGTACATGTGACTTGATTTACTGTACATAAAATAACTTTATTTTGTACAATTCAAATTGTGAATTAATTTTAAGTAGAAATCTGCAAGCACAGGATAACCATGATGGGACTCCATAGGCAGTACACATCCATGCATCCTCCCTCATACATCAATCGAATATAGGATTTGACTCAAAAATATGTAGGAACACTTAAATTCAATTCAATTTCTCTCATATCCATACTTGGGTGAACCGCATTTGTGCGACGACGGTAAATTTAGAAGCCAAATACGTATTCATGTGGATAAGTTTATCTCATGCAATTATTCACGTGGACATACATGATAATGAAAAGCATACAAGCACAGCGAAACGAAGTAGAGGAGGCAAGTAAGCCAGCTCAATCTGATTAGTCAGGCAAAGATAGGCTATGCACATCCGCATTGAAGCAGAAGCAACCACGATCTTGGAGAAAAATTGACAAGGTCAACAGATGTGTTGAATAGTAATTTGGGTAGAAAAGGTTTGTCAGTTTTATCTGAAAGCTAGGACAAGTCATGTGGGCTCAATATGTCGCTAAACACAATTCAGGATTTTCGGTCCCGTTTGCAAACACTTGAATTCTAGACCATTGGAGAGTTTCATACTAGGATAGAATGAGAGTTCAGTTGTTGATCTAATATCAGTTCATCATTTCAACTATGGGAATAATAATAAGATCTCCATAAATCCCTTTCACCGAAATTTCATTTGGAATATTGAAACTGAAAATAACTGACAGAATAAATTGAATTTTAATTGAATAATGAGAAGATGTAGTTGACCTGAAAAATGTAGCGATGTATTTGCGCTATGTACATTTTGAACAATCTAGTCACACATATGTACACACACTTGTTAAGGTATCTCATATGAAACTTAATCAAAGGTCATTTATTAATGAGAGTTCAAATATAGACATAAGGTGATGACAATTGTAAATGAAGGAGAGAGAAAATTAATTTAGGAGAATGGGAAATTGTCACATTACCCTCCGGCCATAAAATGGCTTAAAAAAATATATCAGGGTAAACTCCTAGTTACGATAAACTGTTTATGTACGCATAAGTAACCTCAAAGCTTCTCTTATAAACCTCAGAATTCATGTTTTGACCATTTCTATGCAACGTTTTAAAAGCTGTTGTCTTAAGGTCAATCTTATACGCCTTTACAACCACGTTTATCGGGTCATCTAAAAAGTTAACTGATTATAAAGCCACTTACACAAACATGTTCCATAATCCTTGATTGCAAAGTTCGATTACTCTTTCCAATATATATGCGTCCACATAACCATGTAAATTGATAGGTTACGTTCGTTGAAATTATTACCTGTTCACCTAAGTCGATAAACGAGAACGAGACAATGAACCAGCGTCCAGGTAGGTTACCCTGATCCGTAGGCTCAAAACAGCTAACGAGAAGTTTTGATATAACATATAGAAAGTATATTCTACAAACACCCAGCAAACACAATGAGCTCATGCACACACAAATCACGTTTATTTATACATCATAGAGACATCCTTGGGAGAGTCACTAAACTAGCACACTAAAATAACACAGTAACCAATCACAGCCAAGGATTTTCTTGGTGGGAAATGAAATCTCAAAGTCAACTGATCAGCCTATGCTCGGGAACGTAAAATCCAAATTAAGACATTTATCAAGTGAGTTCTAGGGATCTAACGTCCCCAACAGATGCAATGGGATAATATGACGTAATCGTTCTTGCAATGTCTTGTTGGCCTATGTAGAATCATAGGCTTAGTCTTTACACTTATAACCAGTTTCTCGATGACTGCTGCTTTTAATCTCCTGTCTTATGATCAAACTATTTGATTCATCTCTGAATGGCAGAGAGATAGACACATTTTTTCTTCTCAGCAAAAGAGACTTTTTGTAATAACTGATATTTTCCGCCTATTTAAACAAATTTCCTTGGCTAACCATTTAAAATCAATATTTCAGTTAAGAGTTTAGCATCCTCGTCTTCAAATGTATCTCTATCTGCAGTACATATATAGTCTTTATGTCTTTATTGAAGACACAACTCATCATGTCTTACTTGTACTGTAATAGACAAAAACTGTGAAAATTTAAATAATTTCCAGTCCAGATTGGCTTCCTCCTATAAACTAACTGACTTATATATAATAGTTGTTCTATCCTCTCTTCAACTCAATAACATGCCTAGAAAACGAAATCGATCATTACTTTCTTCAACATAGGTCAGTACAATATCATTTTGGACACGAGTGAATTTTTTTTCAGTAACTAACTGATCGATATTTAAAGAATAAATTCAGGTTAAATAAACGGTAATTAAAACACTTTTTTGAGAGTAAGTGCCTAGTTGAACTGAATAAATAAAAGTGAAACTTTGAAACTTCAACCTAATTTACATTAGAGTATGATAAAGATCGTCATTTTACCTTGATATCATGAATTAACCATCATTAGACGACCACCGTTAGAAACCTATAAGCACTGACCGTTTCGTCCTGGTACAGGACTCATCAGCAGTGCGCGAGTAGAAGGAGTTGTGGATGCATACTGCTGATGAGTCTTATGCCAAGACGAAACGGACCATCCAGTGCTTTTAGGTTTCTAATGGTAGTCATCTAACAATGATTCATTGAAGAGATATGTGATTGATATGAAAGTGTATTATTCCTAACGGTATTTGTAAGATCATGACTGATCTTGAAACAGTAGATACTTTGAGAAAAGATTCTATAGGGGACATAGTATCAAGAAACAGTTCAAAAGGGGGATGCAATCAAAACAAAGGTGAGAACAACAACAGGTTAAAGGTTAACAGCAACCAATCAAGATCGAGGTTAGCAGAACAAGCTACAGGTCAAACATGGAGAAATTCGAATGCTTCACTTCTATCTGAAGTTTGTGCTGATGATGATGTTCAGAAGAACAATGAAAGCTCCACAACCAAAACCACCAGCTCAGAGATCGAAACACCACCACAACTTGTTATGATTCTATATATAGTCAGTAGTACTTTATTGAAGTTAGATAATATCCTCCATTTCTAACACTTACACTAAATCTTATCTGTAAGTCTCTCAAATGTACAAACAGTAGAACAGAAAAGCAAATCCTAATCTCCTAATTTGTAATCTTCTCTCACAACTCTTCTAACTAACTAACTTTTCATGTCTAATGCCAACCGTTTTTACATTATCCCTAATATCAGTTGATAACGAAATCGCCCGAGGGGTGATAACCATAAGTCAAAATGCTAACCTAGTCCCTAATATGTAGACTTGACCTGTTTCTTTCACTACAAGGAATAATTCCACATGTAAGTCAGTCAGTTGCAACGTAGAACCTCGTACGTATGTACATAGGCAGCATCAGGGCTACCGGATACACGAAGGTTAAATCGAGTTACTTCTTTATCTTGACATGGTGAGGTCAAGTGAATAATGCTACTCGGATCCTGTATGCGCGTTTCCGAGACGCAGCACACATCGATTGAGCGAGATTCTAAAGTCCTAGCTAATGAAGCCTGTTGCCCTATTTGACATAATGTCCGTATAATAAATGCTCCACCAACATGTTGTCTAGAACGGAGTTTCAGGAGACCAGAAATGATGTTTCGTGAACTCGCATCGTTTGCATTAGCTGTGCAGTGAGATAAGGGAATGTGAGTAGACTTAGTTGTGTGGGTGTAGGAAGGATTTGATTTTGACCAACTTGGTCTCGTGTGCTGTTACGGGTATGAGGGCGGTCGTCACTTTCCGGCTGCCCACACCGTCGAAGGTTGTTTCTTGAGGAACCTGAAAAGGAAGGTAGATTAGTATTGGTCTTAACGACCTTGGTGCGTGACCGCAGAGTCCAACGGACAACTGCTTGAGGCTGGTCACGCACGGCCTTTTTAGGAAGGGTTTTTTGAGTATTAGCTCCGCTCTTAAAAGCCCTTAGTGGGCACCCTTAACGACGGAGATGGAAATCCGTGAGGTAGGGTGAGGTGTGACATTTTTAGTGTCGAACTTTTCTAACGCCTTCCTTCCTTGTGAGAAGGCAGCATCGCTGGAGATGCTGATTGTACGAGGGAAACACCTTACTGCTGTCACACTCCTCTACAGTCAGTCAGCAGTAGGACTTCGCCCTCAGACTTTGAGTAGCTGCTTTTAGTCTCATCGTTCTCCAATCGACCTGCCTGGCATGGTAGAACCTTCAGGAACATATGTTCCAGCCAGTGTATAGCTCGGTTGGGTCATCACGATAGGCAAGCCCGACCACCACGTAAAGGTAGCAGCTTCAGTCGGGAATTCCACATGTAAGAGGATTGATAATTCAGAACAAAGCTAAGATCTCACTGTTATTTTATAGCCTTCCGTTGTTAATCGCGTTTCAATAACAAGGTAACATTTGCTTATTAACTGATAGATAGATAGATAGATAGATAGTAGAGTGAACTTCTGATAAGTGAATTAATTCAATAATTTAACGATTTATATTAGATAGCCGCCATATTGAAATTTGAATTCATACCCAATGTCTATCTATTCACAATGAAATTTGAAACTAAATTCTGCATAATGTGAATATGATTCCATAAAATAAGAATTCAAATGTTTTTCCAAAAATTATTGTATATCGTAGTTTGTTATAAAAATATATATTATTTATCAACAAACATCACTCGAGTAAAAAAACAGACTCAGTATTGAATATTGAATGAATAGAGAGTAAAAGGCGGAAAATTTGAATTTCAAAAGGAAAAAATATATCTGTATAGACTAAAACAACAAAATCAATCAAAATGAAAGTTAGTTAGAATGAAAAATGAAAGAAGACTAAATGCCAGAAAAAAATGGTTGAAAATGATTGCCAAATTTTATTTAATTTTTTCAAGGTTATTTGCTTTAAATAAACAATATGTTGTACTCACAGTGATAAAGTGAACATTGAACAGAGAAGAAAGATGATAGGGTTAAATTATAAAGTTTATGATAAAATAAAATAAATCCTGATTTAAATTTGATGAAAGTCAGTCAGTCAGATGCAACGTAGAACTTCGTACGTACGTACATCAGTTCATGTTGCCATACCACATCAGCACAGAGAGATCGAATTGTCAATTCAAATCCAACAGTAGAAGAGGTAGTAAAGGTAGTAGAAGTATTCGAAGAGGTTAGGATTAGAATATATTATTCAAGAAGTATGATTCAATGAGATAAGTTTAGAAAGACAAAAAAAATAGGTGTTGAAGAATCCAGAGGATTAGGATTTGAGAGAACACAAAGATTGTGGTGGTGTTTCGTTCTCTGAGCTGGTTGTTTTGATTGTGGAGCTTTCATTGTTCAGAAGAACAATGAAGAACAATCATCCACCTGAGCTACAAGTTTTCTCCGCCATCTCAAGAACGTGAAGAATAAATGCACCAGCGCCATTGAGCCATATCATTCAGGGTCTCTCACCATCGATTATTACCATCTCATGGACCCAATCCATGTAGTCGACAATTACCGACATGGCTAAGTCCACTCGTCAATGATTTCATGGATTTCTGCCATGTTTTGGTTTGGCCGCCCCTAACTTTCTTCCAACCTATTCCTACACCACAAAACAAAGCTCGTCGAGGTAGTCGGTTGTTAGGCATACGCAGCACATGTCCAAACCATGTAAACTGATAAAGTTTCATTACTTCATCGATTGATCTGCCATTCTTACCTAGCACCCGTTTCCTAATAACAGCATTGCTCACTCGGGTGTCCAAGGATACACGAGCAATGCTTCGGAGACACCTATAATCGAAAACCAGTAACCTGCGAATATCTTCTACTCTGACTGGCCATGTTTCACAGCTATAAAGTAAGACGGAGCGAGCCACTGCGCAGTACACTCGTCAGAAAAGTCACATTCAACTACATTAGTAATTTGGATATAAACTGAGAGGAACCTTCATTTGGGAGGAAGAATTAGTTACAACCAACTGGAAAGAACTAGAAATGAAAGCCCAGGACAGTGTAGGTTGGAGAAAACTGTATGAGTTTTGATTGGATTTGAATTGACTGTGACTAGCTTCGTGAGGAATCTACTAAGAGTTCTAGTGAGAAGTCATGATCAGTGAAGTTCAGTCTGTTCGGGTGTAGACAGTAACTACAGAAGACAGTGTATGCGGTTGCGAAATACCGTGAACTGATCGAAGTTAGACACTAATACCATGAAATACCGGTTCAGTGAACCGAAGATTAGTCGTTCCTCGGAAGACCGATGGTCATGTGTATTCGAATCTTTCGAGGTGCAACAGTTGTGGATACGCACTGCCACTGATGAGTCCTACACACTATAACAAAACAGCTATCCAGTGCCGCTTACAGGTTTCTAATAGTGACCTGACTTTGATTGATTCATGATTTCTATGAGTAAATATTTGGATCGATATATATTGTTCATTTTTGCTTATTACACACTTTTCTTAACTGACAGGCTTGTCCAATTGATGAACAAGATTTATTACGAATACATGATAAACAATATGTAGAGAAAATTAAACAATCCTGTTCAATGTCAAAACATGAATTATATTCATTGTCTGGAGAATATGATGGTGTATTCTTTAATCGGGTATGCATGGCTGTACATTTTGAAAATATATTTATAAGATCTCTTGATATATGTTGTATGTATTCTCTTAAATCATGTCATTTGGATTGGCTTAATCAACTAATAATCCACAATAACTTAATATATCCACATGCGTACCATTCATTCATACCATGTCACGACGAACGACCAATACAACTGAGCTCCGCGTCAACAAACTCGGAATTCAATGCCTACATTTACTACTGCACACAAGCACATTCAATCGCTCACTCACTCACTCACTCACTCACTGTCCCTATCCCTCTCCCTCTATCGGTATTCGACACACTCCCATGTTGGTTGTCAGAACCACTTCAGCATCACTGGTGTATACAGTCTCCTCAGTGTTTCGCAAGCAAACACCAAATGGATCAGTGCAGTGCCACACTCCTTATCAACCATTCACTCCTTCACACTATCGTGCATTCACCCACTAACTCACTAACTCACTCACTCACTCATTCATTCAGATATTCAACCAATCAGCCTGTGTGTGGTGGTGTGTGTTCGTCTGACCACCGACTCGATGGACATTGGCTCGGACTCAATCTAGTAGATGCATGCATCGGACGTGTAGTGGACGATCAGTGTGACGCGACATAATGGATGGGTGATAGTGGAGTGTGTGTGATATGATGACCATATTGGTGAGCGGTTGTACAGACGACGACTGCGTGGACCACAGCAACAACAAGTACACCGACCACTCGACTGCCTCACCACCACATGTGACGGGTTGTCGGCGGTCGTGTAGCCACAGACACGATGGCGATGTGCTGGTCGCTGGTGATTGATTCGACTCACTGTGATCAGGTGACCAACGACACAGAGTGACTTGTGACTACTGACCACACTGGTCGATGTGATCACCCATCCAGTGATGATGGATCAAAAGCGCACCAGCTCCGGCGAGGCGGATTCGAACCACCGACCTAAGGATCACTGCACCAATCTACAGTACACCAGTTAAATCGAGAGTTTGTTCAAATGGTTACTCAAAAAGTTAACTGTTCATTGCTGCTTCATTCTTTCTTGTCAGTGTGGATATGCAAGACTATAGAACATTGATAACATGAGAAAACTACAACCATTCCTAGATTATTTTCCTTCTCAATATGAACTGATATTAACTGCAAACATGTTGGAAGTTAGCTAACACTAAAGAGTAATTTTGACTGATTTCATGACATATCAGTAGCATAAATTCACAATCGCCTATAATTGTGAACTTTGAATTCTCAACTCACTTTATAAAACTGTTCAAGATGATCAAAAGTCTATAAAATGTCAAAATAAAAACAGATAGATATTCATTGTTCAAGTTTTTGCGAAAATTCTTTTAAAGTATCGCATTTATAAATTAGAGATTAAATATTGTAGCAGAATATCATGAATTCATTATGTTTCATGGATTGACGCCTTGGAAGCTGAAAACCTAAACAAAGGTCTATATTTAGATTTTGAATCAATCATTGTTGCGTCCGTATATTAAGACAAAGCGAATTACTGCTAAGTAAACTCGTCCTTTGGTTAGCAAACAGATATCTCGCCTGCGCCATAGGTGACGCAGGTTTGCAAAAGCCAATCGAGCTTTCTTTATCCGTGCTGAGATTTAGTCAGTCATTAGACCATCAGAGTTGATGAAACTCCTGAGATAAGTGGATCGGCCAACATGCTCAACTACTTCACTCCCTATCACTAGTTCAGGTGTCGATGCAACTCAATCTTGAAGCAACATTTTGCATTTCGAGGATGATAACAGCATCCTAAACATGCTTGCATTGTTGCTTATGGTAGTCAGAAGACTCTGCATTTCGTCAGCGTCTTCACGAAGTAGGACTATGTCATCGGCATATTCTAGATCAGTAAGGCGATCATAATACGAAAATCCCAGATTGATTTGAGTTAGAAACACAGTTGAATGCCAGCGCAGAGGTTAAGCCTTCGTGCTCAAGACCGCCAAGTCCTGGGTTCAAATCCTACTTCCAGGTTTCTCATAGTGGCCCCTAACAATCATTGATTCATGATTTCAATATAAACTTTTGTTTAAATTGTATGCAACTGAAGCATGGATCCATCAATTACAATGAAGTCATGTTATTCTGTTACCATTCTATTAGTATTAATGTTTTATGAAAATTGGCGCATATTTCTAATTTAAATATTTCCATAATCTGTACACATCAGATGATTATCAATAAATTATTGTTGAATTTATTCAATCTGCCATATTTGAATTTGTTTTAGTCAATGACACACACGAAATAAACAGATTAATTCTACAAAAATATAGAACGAATCATCCATCTATCAAAAATCATACAACATTGAATATTGAAACATTCAACTTTCAATGAATAATAGTCAGTCAGTCACAAAATTAAATCATCGATCATCAGGTTGATAATTTTAATGTGACTATTTTACATAACTACTAAGTTGTTTCATTGTTCAATTTTAGAAAAAGTTCATATATGTTTAAATCAATTCTAATGGTAGAGTACTAGGTAACGATGGCAGATTAATAGATGAAGTGGTGAAACTTCATCAGTTGAGGTGGTTGGGACACGTTTTACGAATGCCTAACCACCGACTGCCTTGATGATCTTTGTTTTGTAGTGTAGGAGTAGGTTGGAAGAAAGTTATTGGCGGCCAGACCAAAACATGGCAGAAATCCATGAATTCACTGACAAGTAGACTGAGTCATGTTGGTAGATGTAGACTTATCTGGTTGAGGTCCGCGAGACGATAGTCACCAATGGTTAGAGACTTTGAATGACATGGCTTAGAATCGTTTGCAATGGCGCAAGTGAATCCACTCTTTGTGTTCTATGAAATTCTAAGCTTCTGCATTCCTCATAATCTCTATCTTTCTCCTTCTAAATTTATCTCACTGAATTATACTTTTCGAATCATATCTTCGCTCCCTAATCTTCTCCATTATTGCTATCACTCTTGGATTTGATGAACTGACAGTTGCGTCTCTGTGCTGTGGTATGAAAACCTGAACTGATGTACTTACGTACGTACGAAGTTCTGCCTTGTATCTGTCTGTCTGTTTATGTCACAAGACACAGGTTGATAAAATGTTTCAACATATATATATTTAATTTCATGAGATATCGATTTATTGATTAATATTACAGATGTAAGAATGAAATTAAGACGTAGTAAGTAGTAGTAGGCTGTAAATCCAATTTGATCAATAAACTTATTTCCAAAAGTCAAATTATTTATGTAGAAATAAAAATGTTGCAGAATAGTAGAATAGCTGACTGATTTACCCGAATTTTACACAATCAATCTTCCATCTAACTATGTTAACGTAAACTTGCTGGGATATGACTTAGAGCTTTTATGAACAGACTAGCGCAAACAGGATTTTCACAGTAGAATTCACCTGTGTTCTGTTCTTATTTGAGTAATAATGCCATATAGCAAGTTGGCTACCGTTCATCTTGACTGGTTTAGCACCATTAGGATTGTAGAATGTCTACAACCTTACGGTCTATGCCGAAAAAATAGCCGGTCACTAGAACCTCCTTCATTAGTCTATTATTTTTAGGGATAGATGTTCAGCCCACTACTCTGTGATGCGAAGTGTCCCCGCAATATCCAATTATCTGTGGGCAGTACCGTACTGAGGTTAAGGCGTAGTGTAATCAAAGATGGCTCATCCTCAGACCTGAAACTTAGTATTATTGACAATAATACCGTTCTCCTACTGACTTACTCAGAACAGTAATTCCTATTAGAACGTAATCACCGTCCATGTATGTACGACCACACCAATTTCATTTCAAGGAAAAACGTCGACTTCATCAGGAGACCAAATCTCATGTTCGAATACAAGCGTAGAATGTGACAATCTATTCGGGCTAGCACCACTCGATGAAATAACCGGCACCACCTTACAGGCGCAACGCTACCAAGCCTCCCTAGAACTGGACCCACGCATTCCCAGACTTAGGGACAACTAGCCCATCTAAATTGTTACAAACCTAACGGTCGAGTAATGAAACAAAACACCTGAGTTGGAGTAGTCTCGTGATACCGAACTCGCGTCTTGGGAAGTCACCTACCGCTGCCCCCGACACCTGATCCGCGGCTACAACCCCATCTACCAAGTTCAACGTTGGCCGAATGACCTACAAGGCATAAGTCACGCCACACCAGGTTAAGATAGGCTGACACTTAGTAACGTTACTGTCAAGTAGGCTAGTTGCGCACAGGTAGGTAGCCCAGATCTTACATGACAGCACAGTAAACATGAAGAACAAGACTAAGCAGAAAAATTTATTTATTGAAAGGAATAAGCAGAACAGTTAGTATTTTTTCTGATTTACGCATCTTCAGCTTCCTCCTCGAACTCGCCCTCATCCTCAGCGGTAGCGTCTTGGTATTGTTGATATTCGCTCACCAGATCGTTCATGTTAGATTCCGCTTCGGTAAATTCCATCTCGTCCATACCTTCACCAGTGTACCAATGCAAGAAAGCCTTTCGGCGGAACATAGCTGTGAATTGTTCAGAGACTCGTTTGAACAACTCTTGGATAGCAGTACTGTTACCGATAAAGGTGACGGACATTTTAAGACCACGTGGTGGGATATCACAAACAGCGGTCTTCACATTGTTGGGAATCCAGTCAACGAAGTAACTTGAATTCTTGTTCTGCACATTCAGCATCTGTTCGTCGACTTCCTTCATGGACATACGTCCACGGAAAATAGCGGCTACAGTGAGATAACGTCCGTGACGTGGATCACAAGCGGCCATCATATTCTTTGCATCGAACATTTGTTGAGTCAATTCAGGAACAGTCAGAGAACGATATTGTTGGCTACCACGGCTGGTGAGTGGTGCAAAACCGGGCATAAAGAAGTGAAGACGTGGGAATGGAACCATATTGACTGCAAGCTTGCGAAGATCAGCATTCAATTGACCAGGGAATCTGAGGCACGTTGTCACACCAGACATAGTTGCACTGACCAAATGGTTCAGATCACCATAAGTGGGAGTTGTGAGTTTCAAAGTTCTGAAGCAAATGTCATAAAGTGCTTCATTATCAATGCAATAGGTCTCATCGGTATTTTCAACCAGTTGATGAACAGACAATGTCGCATTGTAAGGCTCCACAACAGTGTCGGATACCTACAAGTAAAATTGTAAAAGTGGGAAATGGAAATGTTATATGAAGAGAATTCACACACAATCTGAACTACATAGTCACATCAACTAATTTGCATCCGCCATTTCGGTGTAGTATCAAACGAAACTAAGACGGGCAAATGCTGACGAACACCTGATACCCAACATCAAGAGTGACTAACCAAAAATAACCGTGTTGAGGTGTGGTAAGAGTCCTCCACTTAAATTCAACGCTCCACCCAAGCGCTGATGCTTAAGTAACCGTAACTATGGAAGCAACTTTACAAGTCAGTCTATGACGAGTTAGATAATAAACGACTGAGGGTCAAAATCATGTATAATCACTTACTTTTGGTGAAGGAACAACCGAGAAAGTATTCATAATACGATCAGGATACTCTTCACGAATCTTTGAGATCAATAAAGTTCCCATGCCAGAACCTGTTCCACCACCAAGTGAATGTGTCAGCTGGAATCCTTGAAGACAATCACAAGATTCAGCTTCTTTTCTTACTACATCCAAAACGGAATCCACTAATTCAGCTCCTTCAGTATAGTGACCTTTAGCCCAATTGTTTCCTGCTCCACTTTGACCGAAAACAAAATTATCCGGACGGAAAAGTTGACCAAAAGGTCCAGCACGAACACTGTCCATGGTGCCAGGTTCTAAATCAACCAAAATAGCTCTTGGAACATATTTTCCACCGGATGCTTCATTGTAGTAGACATTGATTCGTTCTAGTTGTAGATCTGAATCACCATGATATGTTCCAGTTGGATCGATGCCATGTTCGTCGGAAATAACTTCCCAGAACTATAAGGAATAAGAAGTTTAGCATGAGTAAGGAAATCTCGAATAATAGTAATTGCTGGTATACATGAGTAGGACCAAAAAGTCTAGAAATCTCCACTTACTTTGGCACCGATTTGATTACCACACTGACCAGCTTGAATATGTACGATCTCACGCATAGCTAAGCAGATTAGTCAATAACCATAGAGATTAAGGTCTGACGATTAAATACATGTAACTAAGTAATCGATCTGGACGGACTGACATACATGGAATATGATTGGATAAAATTAAACATTTGATTTTTCCACAATCTGATTGGTTCGCATGGACTGTCTAGAAATGTAGGAGGCAGTTGTTGATCTTGGCTTGGACTTGTAAATTGTAAAGGTCATTGATTGTTGATTGGTTAAATGATGATATTGATCATTTTAGGCTGAATAATGTTATTGACTGACTGGGGCAAAATGTCGATTGTTTGTTTTAATTTGTTTTGTTTCGTACAGCAGTACAGTCAGTCTGAACCTTTTTGGAGAAAAATGGTCATAAAGTCTGACCTCTAATTCAAAAAAATGTTTAGAAAAATAAACGAGGACGAGAGATTAATGATCTAAGAATTGGTAAATTAAATCTTCGGCCAAGTCAAAACATGGCACAAATACATGAAATTACTGACAAGTGGACTGAGCCATGTTGTTAGGTGGTTGGAGCCCGCGTGATTATAGTAATCGTTGGCTCAAAACGGTCTGCAATAGGGCAGGTGCATTCATTCTTTGTGTTCTCTCAAATCCTAACCTTCTTGAATTCCTCATCACCTTTATCTTTTTCGTTTTAAGTTTCACTAGATTCTACTTCTTGAATAATATCCTTGAACCCTAAACTCTCTGATTACTGCTAATACTTCTAGTATTCTGGGATTTAAAGTGCCAATACGGTTTGTACGTACGTACGAAGTTCTATGTTGTTGGCTTGACTTGACGACACGGAACGTTTCATCCATTCAAAAAAAGATTGTGAAGATTTATTTCTCTTCTCTTATGATAACATTTGACCTATTAAGAATTTAAAAAAATACTTTAAGGACACGATAAATAGTGAACAACATGAGTGACTGTGTCAACGACATTTTTAAAAACAACTGAGTAAAATCACTGACCCACATAAATGGCTTTATCCAAGACTATAACTAAATGAAATCTGTCATTCGTAAATATTTGATCGATTGGTTGATTCATGATTTCAGTGCAGCTTAACAATGTCCACATCCCTCTGATGAAAAATTAAAACCAATTCTTTGCACCCACCCAACTTTCTCGACTTAGAATAATATGTGCACTGTGAAATGTTAAATAGTTCAGCATGTGTATCTAACTTTATGTAAGAATCCTTAAGTACTTGTCACTTGTTAGCGAAAGTGAAGTTGTTTTACTTGGGATGTAGTCAATAACACTTAACTGATGAACACGAGAATTTATTCATGTCGATAGCTCTGTACTACAATTTTGTTCAGTTTGAGAGATGCACTGTTCTGTAATTCAGGTGGTTACCCCTAACGATGAGAATCAAGCTGGTGCAAGTATGTTCCACCGTTACATCACTGATCCTGATGTGAATATATAGTATGTATACATCCTAATAGCGGTAACCGGCAATATAGCAGTCTAAAAGCAGTTTCTCCAATTCACCTGATCTGTCTTAGAACATTTAAAAAAGTCTGGTTTGTCATACAATCAACTCTTAGAAAGATTTCTTCGAGTCCCAAATTGAGTTCTCCAGTAGATATCTCACCTTTCAAAAGTACCAAGAATTAAATGCCGCTTTGAGTTACCTCAATATCCAGTTATTCAATCTACATACTTATAAGTTGTAAGCATTTTGCACATCCAATAAACGTTTTATTGGAACAAATAATCGCCTCGAATTACTCATGCGAATATGAACAAACTGAAATAAAGATCTTTTTGAAAACTAATTCGATTAGTATAATTTTTCATGATCGAGTTGTGAAGATTGTTAAGTTTCTGTGAAATTATGAATCGATCATTGTTGATTGATTGCTATTCAAAACCTGGAAACATTGGATAACCTTTCCATCCCAATATGGGACTTATTAGCAGTACGTATCCACGACTCCTAATCGTGTGAATCAAACCCAGGAGCGTTGGATACCGGCTCAATGGTTTAGATGTTAAGCATTTTTGCACGTGAGACCAAAGGAGGTTCTGGGTTCGATTCTTGTGAGCGGGGGCCCCACAGGAGTAACACATTAGGATGAAATGGCTATGCAGTGCTTCTAGGATTCTGATGGTGGTTTGATAATGATCGATTCATGATTTCAATCATTTATTATAGTCACTATGATACATAAAGGACCGGGGTATGTGATGATGAGAATTCCTAATCCTAAAAAGAACCATATATCTCTGTATGATAGTAACGTTTAGTGAGCTTCTTGTATTTGCAGTCACAGAGAGATTTTAAAGCACAGCTCTTATAAGATCTCATGGGATAGTGTATGAAGTCGTTCAAAAGCAGACCATTATTCTCACTAACTGTACAGTAGGTTGCTACTGTTGGACACAATCTATCTATCGTTGAAATCATGAATGAATTATTGTTAGACCACAAATAGAAACCTGGACGAAACACCGGACAGCTGTTTCGTCCTGGTATGTGACTCATCAGCAGTGCACATCCATGACTCCTGCCACTTACAAGAATTGAACCCAGGACCTTTGGTCTTCAGCACGAGCACCTGACCTTTAGACCAGTACTGAGCTGGCATCCAACTCTGATCAATCTAAGGTTTCGCACAACCTCATACATTGTCCTCGATAATTACCGCCTACACTCGAATAAACTGATCAGATTTAGACATTAACACCGTTTGATGCCAACCAGTTGAGTGATCGGTCCACAGTTAAAGGGTTTGTAAGCAAGACTCAAGTTACTGAGTACAATTCCTTTGAGTGTCAGGAGTCGTCGATCTGCACTGCCACTAATGAGTAGTCCCCTACCCGGACAAAACGGTTATCGTTCAATGCTTTCTTTCAGGTTTCTTTCTAATGATGGTCTAACATTGATACATCGATACATGATTTCAAGCAGTACTTCAGCGATCTCTATCAATCGATCATGAAAAATCTATCTACTTTCGAACAACTCGTGCTAAAATCAATGATCTTATCAAGATAATCTCTAAAAGACGCTCATATGGTAAAAAACCACACAAATTTACTTATTTTTTTCTGATTTCTTTCATTTCGCATACACAATTATAGTACACATGGCTTTGTGCTACATTAGCAGCTGGTAGTGTAAAACATTTAACTGAATTAATCTTAACTAATCAATTATCCAATGGTCTAGCATTGATACGTCCACCTGGTCATCATGCTATGCATTCAGAAGCATGTGGTTATTGTATATTTAATAATATTGCTGTGACAGTTGCAAGTTTTCTTCAGCCTCAAAAATCAAAGATGACAAAATCAATACAATCAAGGTCACAATGCATTTGGTTACAACGTATATTAATTATTGATTGGGATGTACATCATGGACAAGGGACACAATATGCATTTTATGATGATAATCGGTTAGTTGTTAATGGATTTATTTAGTTTATTTAAACAACACATGAATATTGATACAAAAAATGGGGCGTTTAAATAGTTATATCAGCATACAAATTATTAATGAGTTTATCAGTGGGATTGTGGTGCGAGCTACTTATAAGTAGTATATGACGAGAGTGTCAACGTAATGTCTGGCAGCAGAAGATGGGGGAAGATCAAGAAAGGAAGAGTTAGAACACAATTGAATTTGTATGAAACGCATGAATAGTGACAATGGATTGATGTTTTGCAACAGGAACACTCCAGTTCGATATGATGAACTGACATTTTGCAAATTAACACGATTTACGATATGGTTTTCCGATTTTACTGAGTAACTCTGTAATTTTCGTTAAATACAATTCGGTTGCCCCACCTGTGTTCTCGTTCACTACAGGATGAGATACAACTAAATGGTTGCCTAAACGGAAGTATGTGACATTCTTAGGGAATCACTCGATGAGCTCCTGATCTACAGGTTCAATCTATGAGGCAACGGAGTAGCGTCAAGAGATACTGTCTCACAGTAACCGGTGAGCTATAATAAGTTCGTGTCCTTTTCATTCTGTCAGGATCCTGGAATCTGTATGCACCAATGGTTTGAATCAATCGACTGTGATCATCAATACAGTTTCAGCTGCCACCGGACATTCTCATTTCATTCTATGACATGAGAATGGAGTGAGTAGGATTTCTCTGACAGTAGCTGCTATGCACAACATGCACCAACCAAATCACTTTTGATGGAGATGCCTTGGAGGACGTTAACACCTTTACACATCTGGGCAGCATCAGTGACGAGCAAGGTGGATCCGATGCAGATGTGAGGACGCGGATTGGCAAAGCAAGGGCTGTATTTCTACAGTTGAAAAATATCTGGAACTCCAAACAACTTTCAACAAACACCAAAGTCAGGATTTTCAATACAAATATCAAGACAGTTCTACTGTATGGAGCGGAAACTTGGAGAACTACGAAAGCCATCATCCAGAAGATACAAGTGTTTGTTAACAGTTGTCTACGCAAAATACTTCGGATTCATTGGTCAGACACGATCAGCAACATCTTACTGTGGGAGAGAACAAACCAGATTCGAGTGGAGGAGGAAATCAGGAAGAAGCGTTGGAAATGGATAGGACACACACTATGAAAAGCATCGAACTGCGTCACAAGACAAGCCCTCACATAGAACCCTCAGTGTCAAAGGAAAAGAGGAATGCCAATGAACACATTACGCCGAGAACTAGAGAAAGATATGAGAGGAACGAACAAAAACTGAAAAGAACTTGAAAGGGAAGCCCAGGATAGAGTTAGTTGGAGAAAACTGGTGGTTGGCCTATGTTCCATTGGGGGTAACAGGCGTAAGTAAGTATGTAAAGCTGTACACGTGTGGTCATTTGAGAGGATATTGAGAAAGTGAGGGGACTTTCTTCATTTTGTGTTGTACCAGAGCATTTGGAAGAGTATTTTACTTAGAATAACCCTCCAGTTATTGTCAATGATGATAAACATTGTTTCCAACGTTTTTTGAAGTTGCATATAAAGGATTTTACCTAAAATTATTCAGAAATCTAACTGTATCACTTCGTTCAATAGTGTTTTAGATACAGCGATGTGTAGATATATGAACAGGGTATATTCACTTCAGGCGATCCTGTTTAAAAGATTAGCCAGTGATGATCCGCTCATGAAAATACAGCATACTCATGAATGAATACACATAAGCTTCAGATCAGCTACGACATATGTACTAGTGAAATCATGAGGAACACTCATGCAAGCTCATGAGTACTTACATCCAGCTGACAGGTTGAAAAGTGGGATGATCTATGCATCTTGGATTCCATTGCTAACTAACAACTGTTCAAAACCATGAATGAAGAGAGACCTCTCACTCTCTCCAAATCCTCTCCTATGGCCAGACGTGTATAGCTACTGTCAGAGCAGTTCTACTCACTACCTACTCATGTCATAAGTGTTATTTACCAAATTGAGAGGATGAAAATCGAATGTCCAGTGACAATTGAAACTGTGTTGCTGGTTACAGCTGACTGACCTAAGGGAGTTGGAAATTCCTCATTTCACAATTCACTGGTGAATACAGGTCTCAGAATCCTGATGGAACGAACAGGGTTCGAACCTATTACTGGTCACTAGTATCTCTTGACGTTGATCTACTGTCTAATAGATGAGAGGCACCGTAAAGGTATTTCGTTGTAGTATGGGCTATCTCGACAGCGTACATTCATGATCCTACAACGGATCGGATCCATAATGTTGGGGATCCTCAGAACTCACTTAAAAAAGGTCCTAATTTTGGATTTTTTTATGTTTTCGCGCATAAGTTGCTCAGTTGACCTTGAGATCACATTTCCCATTCGGGAAAATTCTTGACTATCATTGGTTGATGGATTATTTCAGTACGCTATTTTTATGCCTCTTTCAAGGACGTTTCTATCATGTATAAATAAACTCGATTTGTGTGCTTATGAACCTCGTATTTGCTGGATGCTTGTAGAATACACTTTCTACGCCTTAACAAGAAGACTTCTTGATCTAGTTAACCAGGCCGGGGACAAACGGATTAGAATAACCTATCGTGTCGCTGAATCATTGTCCTTCTCTCTCGTTTACCGAGTAAGGTGAACTCGTAATCGCATTCAAGTATATCACATAACCTTCAATCTCATGCTTTAGACTACTGAGCATGTCAAGAACTTGAGTGTGAGACTTGAGTTTCTGTAAGATTATAGATGGACACTATACTGACCACTGTCATATTGAGAGACAGAACATACTTACTCATTCAGTAATTCCTAGTTTTGATTATGTGTCCAAATAACTTCATTGTATGACAGAATCCATGAAATTAAAACGCACACATACACCGATTAATTTATGTTCAATTTCTTTCAGTGTCCTTTACATTTCTATTCATCGTTATGAAAAAGCTAAATTTTGGCCAAATTTACGTGAAGCAAATTATGATTTTATCGGTGAACATTTGGGCAAAGGTTATAATGTGAATATACCATTGGAAGAGGTAAGTTTTTTTTTCAAGTTTTATTATTGACAATTTTTGTTTTAATCATGGTTGAATTGTATTGATCAGAGATATCAGTTTAATTATAGAGTCCTCCTAGTATGGGGGGACTCTTCAGCGGTGCATATCCACGACTTCTGATACCTAGCACCTACAATCAGTCAGTTGTAACGTAGAACTTCGTATGTATGTACATAAGTTCAGATTGCCATATCACATTATTAACACAGAGACGCAAATGTCAAAAATCGAATCCCATAGTGATAGTAGAGATAGTAGAGGTATTAATGGTAATGAAGAAGACTATGGTTTGAAGATATTATTATTCAAGAAGTATAATTCAGTGAGATAGGGTTAGAAAGACAAAAGTAGAGGTGCTGACGAATCCAGAAGATTAGGATTTGAGAGAGCTCAACGAATGGATGCACTTGCGCTATTGCAAACGATTTTGAGCCATGTCGTTGTTCAAGGTCTCTAACCATTGGTGACTTTCGTCTCGTGGACCCCAACCACGTAGCCTACATCTCTACCAACATGACTTAGTCCACTTGTCAGTGATTTCATGGATTTCTTCCATGTTTTGGTTTGACCGCCCGTAACTTCCTTCCAACATACTCCTAACCAGCACCTACGATCTTACGCTCGAACGTTTAACTTCTAGATCAGCACTGAGCCAGTATCCAAAGGTGTTCATGTCTAACTTTGATCAATCTAAGTTATTGACAACCGAACTGAGCTATAGTGGTAGGTGTAGACTACATGAATGGTGTCCGCAAGACAATAGACAAAGATATATTCACTGATGAATAGCTTCGTGAGGGGATTCTTGGAGTTCTGTTGAGGAGACGTGACCATTAGAGTCCAACCCTGTTGGGTGTTTTAGGCAGTAACTACTGAAGATAAATGGATGAGGTCACGCAAAATCCCTAGATTGATCAGAGTTAGACATTAGCACCGCTGGATGCTGTCTCAGTGGTTCGAAGGTCCTGGTTCGGAATCTTGTGACAGTAGTAGGAGTCGTAGATGTAGATGAGTCCCATGCTAGGATGAAACAGCCGTCCAGTGCTTCTCTCAGGTTTCCAATGATATTCTAACACTCACTGGTCCATGATTTCCTTTTAAGTGATAGTTTCCATTCGATCAACTGGTGAGTTTATCATACACCAATAATAGTAATTAGTTGAAGATAATTTCGAACGATTCAAGTTAAATCTTTAGTAATAAATGAAAACTTTGTCAGAATAGTTAGATGCAAAACAGTTACTGGATGGTGAAAGCGTTTGGGGATGACATTAGTCAGTATTTTATGACTGTGCCGGGAACGTTAGATACCCAGAACTCACTTGATAAAGGTCGTAAATTTGGATTTTGCGGTTTCGTACATTGGCTGATCATTTGACCTTGAGATTACATTTTCCTCCTGGAAAATCCTTGGCTGTCATTGGTTGGTGGATTATTTTAGTACGCTATTTTTGCAGCCTTCTCAAGGACGCTTCTATCATATTTAAATAGGGTTGATTTGTGTGTTTGTGAACCTCATGTTTTCTGGGTGCTTCTAGAATACACTTTCTATGTCTTGTCAAGACTTTTTCATCTACTTACTTGGGCCTTAGGACGCTATCGTGTCACTGGATCAATTGTCTTCTCTCTCGTTTACCGACTAAGGTGAACTCGTAATAGTTTTAAGCACATTAATTGACGAGCATAACAAAATGTCAATATATTTCATTGAAATTAAGAATCTATTATTGTCATACTAACATTTGAAATGCCTAGAAGCATTTTGGACGGCAGTTTCATCCTATTATGCGGCTTATCAACAATGCACACTCACGAACTCCCGCCTGCAGGAATCGAGCCTAGGACCCCTTCGGTCTAACTCACAAATGATTAACCTGTAAACCAATAAGCAAGTATCCAACAGTGTCTTCAGAAGTTACTGCTCACACCCGACAAGGTTGTACTCCACCGTACTACCGATGATCAAGTCTACTCACTGGCATATGCTGTACGTTAACTATACAAAATTCACATACTTTTCAATACACTAACGAGAATTTTAGAAAAAAACAACCCAGTCACGATAAGATGAAACTTTGTAAGAAAATTGTTTACTTTCAAGAAAAGTCAATTCAATGTGTAGAAACCTAAAGGTTAGATATTATTTAAGTTATTGATCAGTCAGTCAATCAAACACAGCACAGAGCCTAGTATACAAATGATACTTACTATTCAAGTGTCCTTGACACATTCAACACAATACAATGAATTCCATTCATGATATAATTAGTAACATGACATAACAGTATTCATTCCAATAGTCAGTGACATTAATGCTAAGTCTAAGTTCAACGTCTCTTATCTTTCTTGTAATCTATTGTTATACTAGTTATTGTGTCGCGTAAAGGTAGGCATTGATTGCATATCTGTAACACATATTTCAACTATTCATTATCTTATCGGTGTCGATTTACAATCAATCAATAGCAACGTAGAACTTCGTACGTACGTGTGTAAGTACATCAATTCATGTTGCCATACCTCATTAGCACATAAATGCAATTGTCAATTCAAATCCAATAGTGGTAGAGGTAGGTAGCAGAGGTATTAGAAGTAATCGGAGAGGTTAGGATTAGAAGATGTTATTCAAGAAGTAGAATCTAGTGAAATAGACTTGAAAAGATAAAGATAAAGTGATGAAGAATTAAAAGGTTTAGGATTTGAGATAATACAAAGAATGAATGCACCTGTGCCGTTTCAAATGGTTTTCAACCATGTCATTCAGGGTCTCCAACCACCGATTACTAACATCTCGTGGACCCCAACCAGGTATTCGACACCTACCGACATGACTCAGTCCACTTGTCAATGACTTCATGGATTTCTGCCTTGTTTTGATCTGGCTGCCCCTAGCTTTCTTCTAACATACTCCTACACCGCAAAATATAGCTCGACGAAGCAGTTGGTGGTTAGGCATACGCAACACATGTCCCAACCACCTCAGCTGATGAAGTTTCAATACTTCATCTATTGATCTGCCATCCTTACCTAGCACCCGTTTCCCAATAATAGCGTTGCTCACTCGGGTGTTCCAGGATGCACGAGCAATGCTTCGAAGACACCTATGATCGAAAACCAGCAACCTGCAAATATATTCTCCTCTCACTGGGCATGTTTCAGAGCCACAAAGTAGGACGGAGCGAACTACTGAACAGTACATTCATCCTTTGGTTAACAAGCGGATATCTCGCCTGTGCCGTAGGTATCGCAGGTTGGAAAAAGCCAATCGAGCTCTCTGTATCCGTGTTGAGATTTCGTCAGTCACCAGGCCATCAGCACTGATGAGACTCCGGAGATAAGTGAAGCGGTCTACACGTTCGACTACTTCACTCCCTTCACTAGTCCAGGTGCCGATGCAACCCAATCTTGAAGCAACATTTTGCATTTCGAAGGTGAGAATCGCATCCTGAACATGCTTGCATTGTTGCTTAGAGTGGTCAGAAGACTGCATTTTGTCAGCGTCTTCACCAAGTAGGGCTATATCATCGGCATATTCTAAGTCATCAAGCGAGCCTCCTGGTAGAACGTCGACTCCTGACAATTCAGATGAGGATAAGGTTATATCTAGGAGTATGTCTATGATAAAATTAAACGATTTACTGTCTTTCACTAGTACACAACTTCAATATTGATAACACAAGATAGTCAGTCACTTATGATCAAATACCAATCACCACCTACAAGTACCTACACCGCAAGTGATGCAAGCTAGCAAGCTGGCTTTCTAAATCAGTACAGAGAAATTTTTTCAATATGATCAGTTAGACTTTTCATAAGTGATCATTTTTTAATACAAATTGTAAATCGATATTACTTCAGAGAATTTCCGAAAAATCTATTCAAACTTAGTTCTTTGTGGAAGGGAGAAAAGATTTTTAGATAATCCTGGGACACCCGAGTGAGCAACGCTATTATTAGGAAACGGGTGCTAGATAAGGTTGACAGACCCAATAGATGAATTATTGAAACTTCATCAATTGAGATGGTTGGGACATGTGTGTTGCGTATGCCTAACCACCGACTGCCTCGTCGAGCTATATTTTGCAGTGTAGGAGTAGGTTGGAAGAAAGCTAGGGGTGGCCATATCAAAACATGCAGAAATCCATGTAGTCATTGACGAGTGGACTGAGTCATGTCGGTAACTGTCGACTACCAGGTTGGGGTCCGAGAGATGATAATGATCGATGGTTAGAGACCCTGAATGACATGGCTCAAAATCGTTCGCAACGGCGTCGGTGCATTTATTCTTTGTGTTCTCTCAAATCCTAATCTTCTGGATTCTTCAACACCTCTAGTTTTGTCTTTCTACAGTTATCTCACTGAATTATACTTCTTGACTAATATCTTCTAATCCTAACCTCTCCGATTACTTCTGATACGTTTACTACCTCTACTACTATTAGATTTGAATTGACAACTACATCTCGCTGTGCTAATAATGTGGTATGGCAAGATGAACTGATGTAGTTATGTACGTACGAAGTTCTACGTTGCTATTGGTTGATTGGTTGATTGATTATTAAACAAACTCATGAATAATGTTCATTTAGATATTGTTTTGCCTGAACATTTATTTTTTGTAGACTGACTTAACTGATTCTGATTATTTGGCGATATTTTATCGATTAATTATGCCGATTGCTACAGAGGTAAGTGGCTATTCATATAAATATTGATTTTTCTTTTTAGTAAATGTTTATAATAAATCGATATTTATAAAAGTTAGGATTAAAGTTGGAATTGATGTTCTAATTATTGACTTGTTATTCAGTGTTTTAAATCAATGTCATTACTATACAGTCAGTCAGTCAGTCAATCAGATGCAACGTAGAACTTCGTACATAAGTACAACAGTTCAGGTTTCCATATCACATTAGCACAGAGACTTACTTACTTACTTTCGCCTGTTACCCCAAATGGAGCATAGGCCGCCCATCAGTTTTCTCCAACCAACTCTGTCCTGGGCTTCCCTCTCCAGTTCTGTCCAATGTTTGTTCATTCCTCTCATATCTTTCTCTATTTCACGGCGTAGTGTGTTCCTTGGCCTTCCTCTTTTCCTTTTGCCTTGAGGGTTCCATGTGAGGGCTTGTCTAGTGACGCAGTTGGGTGCTTTTCGTAGTGTATGTCCTATCCACTTCCAACGCTTCTTCCTGATTTCCTCCACCACTGGAATCTGACTTGTTCTCTCCCACAGTAAGTTGTTGCTGATGGTGTCTGGCCAACGAATACGAAGTATTTTACGTAGACAACTGTTAATAAACACTTGTATCCTCTGGATGATGGCTTTGGTAGTTCTCCATGTTTCCGCTCCATACATTAGAACTGTCTTGACATTTGTATTGAAAATCCTTATTTTGGTGTTGATTGATATCTGTTTGGAGTTCCAGATATTTTTCAACTGTAGAAATACAGCCCTTGCTTTGCCAATCCGTGCCCTCACATCTGCATCCGATCCACCTTGATTGTCGATGATGTTGCCCAGATATGTAAAGGTGTTAATGTCCTCCAAGGCATCTCCATCAAGAGTGATTTGATTGGTGCATGTTGTGTTGCATCGGAGAATTTTGCTCTTTCCTTTATGTATGTTGAGACCTACTGCTGCAGAGGCTGCTGCTACACTCGTCGTCTTCTCTTGCATTTGTTGTTGAGTGTGCGATAGAAGAGCCAGGTCATCTGCGAAGTCCAGATCGTCCAGCTGCGTCCTAACTGTCCAGTTGATACCGTGCTTCCCTCCAGCTGTTGACGTTTTCATAATCCAGTCGATGACCAGGAGAAAGAGAAAGGGTGAGAGTAAGCAACCTTGCCTGACACCGGTCTTCACCTCGAAAGAGTCGGTTAGCTGTCCTCCGTGCACGATTTTGCAGTTGAATCCATCATAAGAGTTCCGTATGATGTTAACTATTTTCTCAGGCACACCGTAGTATTGAAGAAGCCTCCACAGTGTTTTCCTATCCACGCTATCGAATGCTTTCTCATAGTTAATGAAGTTGATGTAGATTGGTGAGTTCCATTCTATTGATTGTTCCACAATGATCCGTAATGTAGCAATTTGGTCAGTACATGATCGATCCTTCCGAAATCCGGCCTGTTGATCTCGAAGTTGGGCGTCTACGAAGTCCTTCATTCTGTTTAACAATACCCTGTTGAAGACTTTGCCTAGTATTGAAAGAAGAGTGATGCCTCTGTAGTTTTCACACTTGCTGAGATCGCCTTTCTTTGGTATTTTGATGAGGTATCCTTCTTTCCAATCTGATGGTACTTGTTCCTCATCCCAAATCTTCTTGAAGAGGATGTGAAATATTTTCGCGGTTGCTTCTACATCTGCTTTCATTGCCTCTGCTGGAATGTTGTCTGGTCCTGCTGCTTTGCCGTTCTTGATTTGTCTGATGGCCATACTGATCTCCTCAATCGTAGGTGCGCCAATATTAATTGGGAGGTCCGTGGATGCTGCTTCGATGTTGGGTGTCTTCAGAGGAGCTGGTCGATTTAGGAGTTCCTTAAAGTGCTCTACCCACCTATTTCGCTGTTGTTCAGTGTTGCTGATTACTTTGCCTTCCTTGTTTTTCACTGGTCGTTCTGGTTTACGATAGTTCCCGGCGAGCTTCTTTGTAGTTTCATACAATTGTCTCAAGTTTCCGTCTCTTGCAGCCTTTTCCGCCGTCGTTGCTAGATCTTCCACGTATTTTCGTTTGTCAGCTCTGATGCTCTTCTTCACTTCCCTGTTTGCTTCTGTGTATGCAGCTTGTGCGGTAACTTTCTCCGCTCTTGTTCGGCTGACATTGATTGCTGCCTTCTTGTTCCTCCTTTCTTCAGTTTTTGCGAGAGTATCAACAGAGATCCAGTCCTTATGATGCTGCTTCTTGCGACCAAGGACCTCCTGACATGTTGAAGTGATTGCCTCCTTAATCCCTTTCCAATTGTTCTCCAATGTTGTGTCCTCTCCATTGTGTAGATCCTGAAAGGCCTGGATCCTATTGGTGAGGGCTATCCTGAATTCGTTGAGCTTTACAGTATCCCGAGGAAAGGCCGTATTTAACTTGTGCGATGTCGTCTGTCCCGTTGTCCAGTGCTTCTTTAGTTTCAGTCTCATTTTGGCGATTAGCAAATGGTGATCTGTGGCTACATCAGCTCCTCTCCTGGTTCTCACATCCTCCATAGTCCTTCTGAACGTTTTGTTGATACAGATATGATCAATCTGGTTTTGAGTAGTGTGATCCGGTGAAATCCATGTAGCTTTGTGTATGCGTTTGTGCGGGAATATTGTGCCACCGATGACCAGTTTGTTGAAGGCACATAGGTTTGCAAATCTCTCACCGTTTTCGTTCCTTTCTCCCAGTCCATGTCGTCCCATGATGTCTTCATATCCAGTGTTGTCCATTCCAACCTTGGCATTCAGGTCTCCCATAAGAATCGTCAAATCCTTTGGTGAACATTTATCGACGATTGACTGCAGCCTTTCGTAGAATTGATATTTATCGTCGTCATTGTAGTCATTGGTAGGTGCATAACATTGGATGACGTTCATTGTAATGTCCTCTTTCTTTGTTTTGAAGGATGCTTTAATGATCCTGGGTCCATGAGATTCCCATCCTATTAGTGCCTTTTGTGCATGTTTGGACAGCATCAATGCAACTCCTTGTGTATGTGAAGCATTTTCCTCTTCATGGCCAGAGTATAACAGCAGTTTCCCTGAAGCTAGTCTCAGTTGTCCTACCTGTGTCCAATGCGTTTAACTGACGCCGAGCACCTCGAGGTTGTATCTTTTCATTTCTGCCGCAACTTGAAATAGTCTTCCAGTCTCCCACAATGTACGAACGTTCCATGTACCTAAAAAAATGGTTGCTCTAGTTGTCAGAAGAGGCATCAGCCCCGTGACTTCCGAGGGAACTCGGCTTTAGCACAGAGAAGTAATTGTTAATTCAAATCCAATAGTAGTAGAGGTAGTTCAGGTATCAGAAGTAATCGGAGAGGTTAGGATTAGAAGATATTATTCAAGAAGTATAATTCAGTGAGATAACTGTAGAAAGACAAAACTAGAGGTGTTGAAGAATCCAGAAGATTAGGATTTGAGAGAACACGAAGAATAAATGTACCGGCGCCATTGCAAACGATTTTGAGCCATGTCATTCCAGTTCCCTAACCATCGATTACTCACATCTCTCGGACCCCAACCTGGTAGTCGACAACTACCGACTTGACTCAGTCCACTCGTCAATGACTTCATGGATTTGTGCTATGTTTTGGTTTGACCGCCCCTAGTTTTCTTCCAACCTACTCGTACACGACAAAACATAGCTCGTCGAGGCAGTTGGTAGTTAGCCATACGTAACACATATCATTGGTATATATGAACGCTTACCTCCATGAAGAATCAGCAATGTATCACTAACTTCTTGACGGTTGGTATCTAACGTGTTCCTAGACTTCGTAATTTGCTCGTCCAGACAATTGTTACTAAATAGCTCCCTCTTGACGGTTTCATAAGTCAGATTGTGAACACGAAGCGTTGAATACGTTTATTTTCGCACACTACAAATGGACCAGCCGACCGAAAGCACACAGAGAAGAGCCAGCACGCTAGTGAGCGAATTGGCGAATGTATGTTTGAGATTAAAATGTACATATATATAACAACACAGTAAAATGTCTGAGTCATCGAAATATTTAAGAGATTAACATTAAAGCGAATAGGATGAATATGTTCAGTCGTCCCAGCTCGTACAAACCAATAGTACATATTTAAGTTATTGTTATACAAATGGCTTGATAAAATAAATCAATCGAAAAGGCTAAATCAAATTTAATATATGTGAACTACACTATGATTTCCGATATCGAACAAAGATTGGAGAGAAAAAAATTCAATAAAGATACCACCCAGTAAAGAATCAAGTACCTAGGTGATGATCTTCAGTATGAACTGAAAGTATATAGTACGCGATCTAATCTTAACCAAAATTAATTATTTTTTCAAGTTGTTCAATCTTCAATATTGACTGATCACCCAATGATGACCAGAGTATAACAGCAGTTCCCCTGAAGCTAGTCTCAGTTGTCCTACCTGTGTCCAATGCATTTCACTGATGCCGAGCACCTCGAGGTTGTATCTTTTCATTTCTGCCGCAACTTGAAATAGTCTTCCATTCTCCCACAATGTAAGAACGTTCCATGTACCTAAAAAAATGGTTGCTCTGGTTGTCAGAAGAGGCATCAGCCCCGTGACTTCCGAGGGAACTCGGCTTTCATCACGCGATGTCATAATTCTTCTTCCAACTCCCAGGACAGATTTAAAATGGTTCGAATTATATTTTCTGGTCAGCGTTTTCTTGGCAAGTTAAATTTAGTTGGGATGGGGGAGCCAACCCCATGTCCAACCCCTCCTCCTTTATCCGGGCTTGGGACCAGAAGTAGCCCCGAAAGGGACTACTGGCGGAGTACCCAATGATCACAAACATCTAAACCGTAATACTGATCAAATTTTATCGATTACTTGTATTTCTGCCCAATAGCCTGTATGATAATCTTCCGGTATCAAGTAGCTGGAGGCACTGAACAGACAATCAAGTCATAGGGTTTAGTTTAAGATAGTATTCCTCTGTAAGTCATTTTGTCTAGCGTTTCGAGGAGACTGATAATATCTAAACAATGAAAAGAACTTGATTAATCTACTGTAACAGAGTTACTCAGATTCATATAGACTGTCTAATTCCAACCAGATAGAATCAAGCATATCTTATGACAACTCGCAGCAAAAATTCTGAGATAGTGGAGAAGATTTGTAGCTCAGGTGGATGATTGTGGTGGTGGTGTTTGGTTCTCTGAGCTGGGTGTTTTGGTTGTGTTTTTGAGTGATGACTCTAGTTCAGCGAAGAAATCGAGTTTTGAAGCGTCCTTCGTGTTATAGTTTGTTCCTTTTTGGAGCAGTCGTTCTTCTGTTGTCGTTAAGTGTTGCTTCGAGAGGTTGACCACACAATTGGTTGCGTTTTCTTCTGTGGGTCGCTTTGAAACCTTGATTAGTTTTTCTTTGAGGCTGCTTCTTCTTTGTTCTCTGTGTCATCTGTTTGACATTTCAATCGCCGTTGTCAGTGTTGTTAAGTGTTCCGATGTGAGCATTCTCTCCAGTTTTCTTGTTTTTTCCTCCATGTTGCGTTGGTATTTGTGGATTCTGTAGTGTGCATCGGTGATCATTAGTTGTACCATATGTCTCCCACTTTGTTCCGCTATTCACCATCCCATTGGGCAGTTGATTGGTGGTCTGTATCCGACACTTGTTGGCAGAACATGCTGACGAAGACATTCATGGAGAAAATATAGTTGTTCTCGAATGGAAGCCTGCCTTTTGGCGAAACTCTCCCATTTTAGAACAACAAGAAGCGTGTCACACTCATATGATTTTGCGATGGTGGATAAGATTTGTAGCTCAGAGAACCAAACACCACCACCGCAGCAAAAATTCTATCAGCAATAAAGACTAGGCAAATATGACCAATCACTGTTGATGCCTCAGCTCTAATCAAAGTTAGTCATGGTCCTAAATATCTTAGTAATGTTTATTTTGATTATGTTTTTCAAAAGAAGAACAATACGAACTCCAAAATCAAAACATCCAGCTCAGGAAAAAGGAAACTTCATCATAATCGCCTTCGTTTATTTTAAACTACACAATCACCGTGAACTTTTTATCATAAAAAACTATACTACTTTTAATAAAATAAGTAGTTTAATAATTATTTAAAAAACTTAATACTCTTTTTGAAAAATTACAGTTCAATCCTCAACTGATACTTGTTTCGTGTGGATTCGATGCAGCTATTGGTTGTCCAGAGGTAAATTTAACATTCATAACTAACATATTTAATCACAATGTTAATAAAATTTGTTTGTGGTTTTTATTTCTTATACGTTGTTGTTTTACTGAGAGTTCAATTCGTGATAATACGGTCGTCTATTCAATGTTCAACATACGAAATACAAATCTTACAGTTTAAAGTTAAATCACTGTGTTGATTTCCAATGATTCTTATTTCAAAACTTCTATCACAATCATTTTTTATCATCACTTATGACTACTGTCTGAGAATGAAATTCCTTTCTAACTTTATCTATCTCCTCTAATTTAAACTATGTTCTATTTGGTCTAAGTAATAGCTTCATGTGAGAAATATGAGCCAAAATAAAATTATTCTAATGACGGGGTTAAACGCTAAGTTGTACAAATAGTGGTGAACAATAAACGAGTTGTGTAATTTTTTAGCAAGATATCAAGGTCTCATTACGTAACGAAGTCTTTTGAGTAACTGGTGTACTGTTTTTAATATTTTAAAATCATCATAAATATGAAGGAAGTTTCTTCTATGGAGGATGTGAATGTACATATAAACGCAGTGCTTGCTTTACCAACCCGCACCTTCATATCTAAATCAGATCCACCTTGCTCATTAATGATACTGCCCAGATATGGAAAGATTTCTACATCTCATCTCTCCTTATGTGCACATGAGTTTTGTACGGCGAATCGATTACTTTAAAATGTTAGAATAGCATACTTTATAACAACTAGGAAAACTTATCCGTAATAGAAAACGGCTTCATATACTTATAGCTTCATAAGTTGTTACGCATGCACGTCAACATGTCAATTTGATATGCTTGAATTATTACGAGTTTACCTTAGTCGGAAAACGAGAGCGACGAGGATCGAGGATCTGGTGACACAACATGCTACTCTAATCCAGGTGTTCTAAACCCCCATTGAATAAAAGAAGAAGAAGACTTGATATGAAGTAGAACATGTATTCTACAAGCATCCAGAAAGTACGAGGTCCGAGTCCAGACGAGGATAAGGATCCCGGACTAGGGATCCAGGTCTGGGTCATGAAACGTTACAGATAATGCGTATTTATACAGTTAGGTAGAATAGGAAACACTATTGAACTCTATGACATTGATAGTTAGGACGACCATAATATTGACCAGTAGGAACTGACCAATAGAATTAGACTTCCAAAAATAATTCGCTTGTGATATTTGATGAATATCCTAACATAAGTATATTGAATGAAGTTTCTGTTTCTTTGATTTTTACTATATTCAGTAGTATATCCCTGAAAATCAAATTTTTTTTAATGGTCAATCGTCTGTATTTATGATTTGATCATTTTCTGATTGATTTGACCTACCGAAATCTTATTACTATGGACGTTTACGGAGATGGTTGAATCACACAGTATACAGTGTAGATTAATCTTAGTTAGATAACCATGAAAAAAATACACATAACGCCGGTAGAATTGAGACTGAATTGAGAAGAATGAACCAGAGCGATTGGACAGAACCAAGAAAGGAAGGCCCACCAGGACAGAGTAGGTTGCAGAATTCTAGTCAGTGGCCTATGCTCCATTTAGGGGTGGAAGGAGAAAGTAAAGTAAGTAAGTAAGTAAGTAAGTAAGTAAGTAAGTAAGTAAGTAAGTATGTAAGTAAGTAAGTAAGTAAGTAAGTAAGTAAGTAAGTAAGTAAGTAAGTAAGTGCATAAGTAAGTAAGTAAGTAAGTAAGTAAGTAAGTAAGTAAGTAAGTAAGTAAGTAAGTGCATAAGTAAGTAAGTAAGTAAGTAAGTAAGTAAGTAAGTAAGTAAGTAAGTAAGTAAGTAAGTAAGTAAGTAAGTAAGTAAGTGCATAAGTAAGTAAGTAAGTAAGTAAGTAAGTAAGTAAGTAAGTAAGTAAGTAAGTAAGTAAGTAAGTAAGTAAGTAAGTAAGTAAGTAAGTAAGTGCATAAGTAAGTAAGTAAGTAAGTAAGTAAGTAAGTAAGTAAGTAAGTGCATAAGTAAGTAAGTAAGTATGTAAGTAAGTAAGTAAGTAAGTAAGTGCATAAGTAAGTAAGTAAGTAAGTAAGTAAGTAAGTAAGTAAGTAAGTAAGTAAGTAAGTAAGTAAGTAAGTAAGTGCATAAGTAAGTAAGTAAGTAAGTAAGTAAGTAAGTGCATAAGTAAGTAAGTAAGTAAGTAAGTGCATAAGTAAGTAAGTAAGTAAGTAAGTAATTAATTAAGTAAGATAACCATTAAAAACCATAATCTACAGGATATCTGTTTCATTCTAGCGTGCTGGACACTGTTAGCAACGTGGTTTATAATGTACATGCAAAGCAGTTTTGCCCAGGAGTTACTTACTACTGGAGAAGAGAGTGTTTGATGCAACGATCATGTAGGAGAAGACAGCCAATTATCTGTTGGTTTTGTAATTCAAAGTTTGAAGACAGAGATGTGTACACATTTTGGTACTAAATTGTATTATAATAATAATTATTATTACTATTGTTAAAAATGATTTGTGTTTTTTTTTCTAAAAATCTCATTCCAGGGTAAAATGTGGCTTACTCCAATGATATTTGGTCATTTTGTACATAAATTAAAATCTTTAGCCGGTGGTAAAGTTGTTGTTGTACTTGAAGTAGGTTATTCGTTGATAAATTTTCACCTTGTTTCATTAATTTCCATAAAAATTTACTTCGTTTTTTCATAAACAGATATATATTACGGTATCAATCTAATTATATCATGATGAATCAGTTTTTCTGGTTAGCGTTTTTTTTGGTAAGTTAGTTTTTGACGGAATGGGGTCGCCAACACCATGTCCAACCCTCTTCCTTTACCCGGGCTTGGGACCGGCAGTAGACCCGAAGGTTCTACTGGCGGCAGCAGTAGGTCATAACATACATAAAGGAAAAAGCGAAATTCTCCGATGCAACACAACATGCACCAACCAAATCACTCGTGATGGAGATGACTTGGAGGACATTGACACCTTTACATATCTGGGCAGCATCATCGACGAGAAAGGTGGATCGGATGGAGATGTGAGGGCGCGGATCGGGAAAGCAAGGGATGCATTTCTACAATTGAAAAATATCTGGAACTCCAAACAACTTTCAACCAAAATCAAAATCAGGATTTTCAATACAAATGTGAAGACAGTTCTACTGTATGGAGCGGAAACTTGGAGAACTACGAAAGCCCCATCATCCAGAAGATATAAGTGTCTTTACGTAGACAACTGTTATTATACTTCGTATTCGCTGGCCAGACATGATCAGCAAAAACTTACTATGGGAGAAAACAAACCAGATTCTAGTGGAGGAGGAAATCAGGAAGAAGCGGTGGAAGTGGATAGGACACACATTGTGGAAAGCACCTAACTGCGTCACAAGACAAGCCATCACATGGAACCCTCAAAGCAAAAGGAAAAGAGGAAGATCAAGGAACACATTACGCTGAGAAATAGAGAAAGATATGAGAAGAATGAACAAACATTGGACAGAACTGGAGAAGGAAGCCCAGGACAGAGTTGGTTGGAGAAAACTGGTGCCGGCGGCCTATGCTCCATTGTGGGGGTAACAGGCGTAAGTAAGTAAGTAATATCATGATGAATAAAGATGACTATTTTTCACAAATAAATTCGTTAATAACTCCATCTCGAGTCCTTCTAGGGTTACTGCTGGTTCAAAGCGCGGTGGATAAAGCAGGAGGTTTGAGCATGGAGTTAGCGACCTCATCCCATAGAAATCCAACTAGCTGGAAAAAGACGCTAACCAGAACAAATAATTCGCTGGTCGGAGGCCTATGCTCCGTTAGGGGTAACAGGCGTTAGTAAGTAGGTAAGTAAGTAAAATCGAAGGTCTTATGTACGATTCCTGTTCAGGTAGGAGGAGCCATCGATGCACTTTGCTGACGAGTCCCATACTAGGAAGAAGTGGCCGTCCAGTGCTTCTTTAAGGTTCCTAATGATGGTCGAATATTATTGATCAACTCTTGATTTCAAAAATCAACTTAACAGTTTCCACAACCCTTTCATGCAAAGAATAAATTTCGTTATTTTACCCATCATTGACAGTTAGTTTGTAAATTACCAACCGTTATATTACAGAAAAGTATCATGAAACTTGTTTAGTGAGTATAATATACTCGGTTGGTCAGTAAATTTTGTAAGTAAAAGTGTATTCATACATTTTGAAGTTTGCTATAATTTTCTCTCAAGTTAAGAGTACAATTTCAACATGTGCAATCGTTTTTTAGCGACTTAATTTTTCGGGATGGGGTCTTTAACCCTATACTCAACCCTCCTCCTTTATCAGCCAGGTTTGGGATAGGCAGTAGCTACAGAGGGGGCTCCAGGAGGAGTTGATGTCGGCATGCATAGCACAATAATGAAGAAAACATACTAGGGAATATCAGGTAATTGTTATAATGAGGCATTTATTTGATGAACGTTACATATAGTTTGAACTTGATGTATAAGAGGATTTCATTTTATTCAAGACAGTGATAATCACTGACAATCAGATGATAAACATATTTCCGACCACTTAATAATTCGTGCTGCTTTTTTAGTTACTTAATAAATATAAGTAGGTTAAAGAGTTTACATTAATTTCCATGACGTATAGCAAATAAATGGAATCTTACTACTTTGGTTCAATTTCGAATTTTTAGCGTCTTCAAATGATATCATTTTCATATACGCTGCTTTCTGCGATTAAGACAAAGAATGGATGTATCTCTGTCACTGCAAACAATTCTGAGCCATATCATTCAAGGTCTCTTAACCATCGATTATTATCATCTCTCAGACCTCAACCAAGTAATCTACACCTACCAACATGGCTCATTTTCCTTGCCAGTAACTTCATGGATCAGTTATCCTCAGTACTAAATTTGTGCCATGTTTTCATTTTATCGCCCCTGGCTTTCTTCCAGCCTACTCCTAAACCAGGTATCATTGCTCGTCAAGGTAGTCGGTCGTTAGGCATTCGTAATACACATCCCAAATACCCTCAAAACAATCAAATCGACTTGATCATTGATACTGTTTCGCTTATTATCGTAAATGTAGTTTACATTAAAATCACTGATCTGTTCATTATTTCTCTCTCTCTCTCTCTGTGTGTGTTTATTTATAGGGTGGATATTTTGTAGATAGTTTGGCTGAAGGAATAGTTCATGTCTTAAAAGCATTACTCGGTGATCCCTTATCACCTGTTCGATTAATTCAACCGATCTGTTCAAGGTTAGACTATACATTTGCAATTAATTATGAAAATTAATTATTATTTTTAGTAACTTTTATTCAAAAACAGTTTTGATAATCAATCAAATTGACAATGTTAATTTCTAACTTTTAACAGCAATCTCCAGAATTAAGTAGCATTTGTTCACTAGTGATTAGCTTTGTGAGAAAATTCACAGGATTCTAGTGAGAAGATGTGACTAGTAGAGGCACTTACCTACCATAGATTGGTTGAAGTTAAACCCGAGCTCTGTTGGATGCCAGCTTAGTAGGCTAAGTGCTAAGCATTGGCTCGCGAGGTCGGGGATCCTGAATTCAATTCCTGCGAGTAGCGGGAGTCGTCGAAACTCACTGTTGATGTATTTCATACTAAGACAAAACGTCTGTTCAGTGTATTGTACTGATAATCCTGACTTTGATGTTGGTTGGAAGACATTTGTTTTGAGTTCCAGATGTTCTTCAATTATTGGTAACGCTGAACTTGCTTTACTAATCCATGTCTTCATATCTGCATCGGATTCTACCGAGATATCAATGATACTGTCCAGATATGTAAGGGTTTCCACATCTCCCGGAGAATAACGTGAAGAGCTGCAGTGCAGTTAAGACTTGGTAATCGGAGGGAGTCAATAAGAAATCATGTACTTAGGTTTTGTGAAGTTCGCCTATTTTCATCAAGATGTACAGGTAGTCTTGAGTGAACTGATAATCTTTTTGCGGTTCGATTCAGTGTCGTTTAGCTGACATGTGATGAACATCAAGAAACATAGATTCAAGGTTTCGTTCTTTTAATTATCTCCAAACAATGAACATCTTAAATTCGTGCATAGTGGCGTGTTCGAAGTCGGGATCTTCAGATGTAATGATGCGAGTCGGAGTTGACTTTGAACACCACTACAGACCGTCACTAAATGTAGTATCTCCGTGAATCAAGGACAAAGAAGAAGAGTTAATCCAGATATGGGAATATATTTTCTGGCGATTTCATGGTATCAAAAAATATCGAAATCGTTCCAGGAAAAAGGGGAGAAGTTACAACGAGCATTGTCACCAAAATGGCAACGACACAAACGGAAAGTTTGCGCGTACAGAGTTCGAACAAACAAAGAGTACAATATTTCTATTAAACCAATCACGTTCTCTTCATAAAAATGGAGCCATCAAAAATGTGTGAGATGTCGAGTCATCTAGATTAAGTGCTTCGCCGTGTCTTGATTGATAGAATTCGATTAGTTTTATAGGCCTAACAGATATCCATTTTATTTGAAACCAAGGGTTGATCAATGTTAGACCACCACTAGAAACCTGGAAGCCGTTTCGTCCTGGTGTGGGACTCATCAGCAGTGCACATCCACGACTCCTGCACCCCGAAGGATTCGAACAGATATCCAAAAATGAATGTCAGGATGCCCCATCATTCTCAATTATCTATTTTCATAAATGGTCACTCGTGTCTCAAAAAACCTAATAGTCACATCTTTAACTATAATAGCCAATATCATAGACCTAAGCTTCTCTAAATAATCACATTGTTTCAATATGGCAGATTTGATTGCTAAAAAGTGTCATTTCAAGTTGATACATGAAGATTTTGAATCATTTGAACCACTTATCGATCGATAGAATTCGACACTGACTAAGATCACTATCAAATATGATAATACTTAATACCTAATCAAGTGAGAATTGAAGGCTCATCTTAAATTTTATCTCACATTAGGAAGCACAGTTTGGTCTACCAATTTTCAATAATGTTGCCTTTTTTCCTTTGTTTCTCTTATATTCTTTATTTAGTGTTAAAAATACTATTGAATCATGTATCAGTGTGTTACATCCATATTGGAAAAGTCTTTTAGCAAGTTCTCAACCTGTTGAACTTCCAAATTTAGACCATTTACCAACAATAACATGGTAAAGATGAGCTTTTTTTATATTTCGGTTCAGTCATTTTTAATTTAAAAATTATACTACTTATATGAATTCAGTAGTAGATTTAGTAAAAATACAAATAATTACGAATTTGTATCTAAGTGTGCAGATTTAGTGTAGTTTAATTATATCGTGACTTTTTTTCACTGTCATTTTAGTTGAAATACGTGGTACTTTTTTGATGATAGTAAAGTCATTGTTACTTCAGTCTTTTCTGACAATTTTGTTAGTAATTTAATTGAGATATATGAAGAATACTTGGGAACCATTATAAACTTAACATTCAGGTCCAATCACAGTCAACAGGTAAGTTGAAATACATAAGATATATCGGTGAAGTATGGTTTCTTCACTCTGATAATCGATACTTTGGACTGAATGAAGAAAAGAGTCAGAAAATCTGTATCATGAAACTTAGTTGTAATTCATTTCAGTTTAGTAGATTACGGGAAATTTGTGTAGGTGAGGATAAGTATTTTGAAGGTATTGCCTACTCCGATTTGCTTGTGAAGATTTTGTTTCCCTTTAAGAAACGTTATTATCAGTAGAAAGGACTACTTTTTGAAGTTAATACTACCGATCTCGCCTAGATAAACAATAAAATCTCCACAACTAAATTACCTAACTCAAAGAGGACACATAATTACAATTTTTATATAAATCAGCTCTCTATTGTGTAGGGTAATTTTAAATTGGTTTTCAGAAGAACCAAGGAGACTGCCCACGTGTTAGCATTTCAATGTGAACAGTTCGGCTCAGTGGCGTGGTGCAACCACACAGCTACCTGACACCCTGGTGGACCAAAGAGGACAACACGTAGTCAAAAAAGTACAATACTAATATGAAGGGACTACTGTATTTTGTGAATTTCATTCACTTACGTACCGAGTTCCGTAGAATTGACATAAAAATTGATAGGAATTAAAAGATAACATCATATAGTTTAGTTAAACTGATATTATCTTACCAATAAATAGCTCTGTTATCAGAAATGGGTGTAGTTGAATAAAAAAATGTTCACATAAAACTCAAACTGTTGATTAATTATAAGTAGTATAATTAACTACACAAAAAATGGACTGACGGGAAAGAGATGGAGTTAGGAAGTGAAAAAAAACCCATTTTCGAATCAGTTTGTAAGGAATTTCTGCTAAGATTAAAGTGATTTTGATAAAAATCTTCCTTCAGATAAATCTTCTGACCTACTAAACATCCGTTGGTGTGAATTTACTTAATTTATGCTAGGATTTTGAAGATTGTTGAGTTTTATTGAAATGATGAGTCGATCATTGTTAGACATGAATGCTATTGGAAGGCCAGTTCAGTGGTCAAAGATGTTAAGTATCCATGCGTAGGACAGGATGTTCCGGGTTTGATTATCATGTGTAGGGTCTTGGATGTGTACTGCTGAGGAGTCCCATGCTAGAACGAAGCGACCGGCCAGTGCTTGGAGATTTCCAATAATGGTCTAACATTGATCACTTTTATGATAAAATGTTTCTTACACTCTAAAATTTCTTCTCTTTTCTACTCATGGTTTTCGAACATAGGTGTCTTAAAAGCATTGCTTGCATATCCTCAGACCACCAAGTAAGCATGCTTTACATAAGCCCTACCATCAACTGCCTTGAGGAGCGATGTTTTGTGGTGTAGTGGTGGTCTGGAAGGAAGCTAGGGGCTGTCAAACCAAAACATAATAAAAGTCCATGAAGTCACTAACAATTGGACTGAGCCATGTTAATAATAGGTGTAGGGGTTGGCGAGATAATCGTAACTGATGGTTAGAGACCTTGAATGACATGGATCAAAATTGTTTGTTATGGCACAGGTGCATCCATTCTTTGTCTTCCCCCAAATTCTAATCTTCTGAATTTCTCATCACCCTTATCTTTCTCTTTTTAAATTTGTTTCACTGGATTACACTTCTTGAATCACATCTTCGAACACTAATCTTCTCCATTACTGCTCCTACTTCTACTACCTCTACCACTATGGTATTTGAATTGACAATCCGATCTCTATGTGTGCTAGTGTGGTATATCAACCTGAGCTGATGTACCTACGTACGAACGAAGTTCTACCTTGAAAGTGACTGACTGACTCATGGTAAAACAACATTAATTGTTACCTCTTTTGTTCTTCTCATCACTTACCTTTCATATGCATGATAATTGTCAATGTGGTTAGTTAATTTCACCTAATAAACTATTTTTTAAGGCCATTAGTGAAAGTGGTTGCATGGCCTGAAACAAATCCTCAGTTGCCTAGAGTATTAACCAATCAAATTCAACACTTATTGATCAATCACTTACCAGCACCACTGTCTATAACAACAAATGAAAGTCTATTCCGATCGATGACATTGATGCTATTGCCAACAACAACCCAATTATCAGTGTTACGTCATTTACAATCTAAAAGAGGAAGAAAGCAGAAAAATGTATCACTGGAAAGGTTAGTTTTATATAAAACATAGTGATTGTAACGCATTATGGTAAAATTGGTTTCAAGTTAGAAATCGATATGCTTGAATGCTATAACGAGTTCACCTTAGTCGGTAAACCAGAGCGAAAACAAATGATCCAGTGTGATACGATAGGCTATTCTATTCCGTTTGTCCCCGGCTTGGCTAACTATATCAAGAAGTCTCGATAAGGCGTAGAAAGTGTATTCTACAAGCACGCAGAAAAGATGAGGTCGATAAACACACAAATCGAGCTTATTTATACATGATAGAGACGTTCTTGGGAAAGCCACAAAAATAGCGTACTAAAATAATCTATCAACCAATGAGAGTCAAGGATTTTCACAGTGGGAAATGTAATCTCAAGGTCAGATGAGCAGCTTATGCGCGAAAACATAAAAAATTTCAAAATTAGGAAGTTTATCGAGTGAGTTCTGGGGATTTAACGTCCCCAGCAGAAATGTAAACTGTCGAATGACAAGTCAGTTGTCTGGAGGACAGATACTCGTCACATGAGCTGAAGGTCCTAGTGTAGTGAAGGAGAACACAGGTGGGGCAACCGGATTGTATTTAACGAAAATTACAGAGTTACACAGTAAAATCGGAAAACTATATCGTAAATCGTTAATTTGCAAAATATCAGTTCATCATATCGAACTGGACTGTTCCTGTTGCAAAACATCAATCCATTGTCACTATTCATGCGTTTCATACAAATTCCATTGTGTTCTAACTCTTCCTTTCTTGATCTTCCCCCGCATCTTCTGCTGCCAGACATTACGTTGACGCTCACGTCATATACTACTTATAAGTAGCTCGCATCACACTAGGTTCAATCCCTCACCTGGTTGTGGATTCAGAACACTTAGTTATCTAGTGTTCCTATGGCCTTCAATGAATCTCAACAAGATTTTTAAACTGACAAAAGAGGAACGCTAGACATAGGCGTTGTTCTTATATTTTGTACAGTTTGACAGGATAATCTGAGAGTCATATGTAGATAAATCTGTATACTACAGTGTTACCTGAAGTTTCTGATGATTGTGTTATTCAGACGGACAATAAATGCTCCACCGCTAAGCTGTTCATCTCACAGAACGACTCTCCATCGTAAATGGTTGTTAACGATAAATCTGTAATGTAATAATCAGGTAGAGTAGTTCCCTCAAAAAACACGATTGTGTACTGCACAAAGCATAGAACTCTAGAACACTAGGCCTTAAAGTGATTACATTACATTAGAATAGGGATCCAGTTCTTGACATTTGTCAGTAATGAGTGGAGTGAGACAGATATTATCAGTGATTTAATGTATTCTGATCATTGTAAAAATCTAAAGTTGATCAGAGTTAGACATTAACACTGTTGGGTGCCAGTTCAGTGACCTAGAAGTTAAATGTTCGTGTGCGAGACTGACGGTCCTGGGTTCGATTCCCTTGAGTGAGGGGGGAGTCATGGGTGTGCACTGCTGATGAGTCCTTTACTAGGACGAAACGTCCGTTCAGTGTTTCCAGGTTTCTAATAGTGAATAAAAAACATTATGTGGGCAGCAAATACTGCGGCGAGGTGACTATCAACCCTCGTTGAGAGTGCTTGTGCCTGTAGGTACGTCCTGGAGTGTATGAGCGAAAATATATGTACCAGTTATATGGCATATAACGCATAAACCACTGCCTGTGGGAGCGAATACGTCTGAGGGATAGGTGACCGTCTACCCTCCCAAGGGGTGGATTTACTTGTATGTATACCAAGGAATGCATTGGTGAAAAAATTTGTGTTACCACTGTTCATGTAACGTGTACTTGTGCATTTGTAAGGCACGTAAATTAGATCATAAGGTCAAAAGTTAAGTGAAAAATATCTCCTAAGAAAACCAACTATCTCAAGTTAAGTATTTCGATAATATATCAAACCTTAAATTACTTACTTACTTACTTACTTACAACTGTTATCCCTAGTGGAGCATAGGCCACGGACCAGCGAATCATTTGTTCTGGTTAGCGTTTTTTTCCAAAGAGTTAGATTTCTACGGGATGGGGTCGCTAACTCCATACCCAGCCCTCCTCCTGTAGCCCTAGAAGGGCTTCAGGTGGAGTTAAACCTTCTTTAGTTAATGAAAATCTCACAAAAATACTATACAAATAAACTCATCATCAAAACTGACATAATTGGACATTAAACTTAAGAAATTTCTTTTGCCGGGCTTCAAATATTCCATCTTTTATGATTCATGAATGAATTGCTTACGCGTATTTGTTTTAGTTTAATGACTGCATTCAAAGATCAATTTCATATACATTTATACAAACAAGATAATTTACCCAGTGGAGATTATTTATATTCAGTAAGTGAAAATTATTATACATGATGTTGTCAACTAACTTTATGATTTTGTTTAAATTCAATGTTTTGATTATTTAAAAAATTCAACAACAAAGATTTTGAAATCATGGAAATGATGTTAACGAATTCGATTGAAATCTTGAACTGAATAGTGTTAGATCATTATTGGAAATCAAGAAGAGAGGGGAAGTGTTCACATGTGAGATCGAATACCCTGGATTTGATTACTACTGGGTCGTAGATGTGCAGTGCTAAAGAGTCGCATACTAGGATGATACAGTCTTCCAATGCTTGAAAGTGTAGTGTGTGTGCTTTCATGTCAAGCCCTCAAGGTTTATCCGAGACTTTGAACAGTTTACTTCTCTTATTACATGTCTGGCGATACATGCTTGATCATGCCTCATCGCATGTAGTTGACTCGCTTGCCTACTTCACCTTGCTTCGCTTTGCTTGTAAGCGTGAATGATTACTTGAAATTAACTCATCCACTCGAATCCGTATTTGGCTTCTCAATACCGCTGTCGTACAAACAGGGTCCGCCTAAAAGTATGATATACAGAAACTGAATGCGGGAGATTTATTTCATAACAGTATAGTTAATTGTTCATAGTCAGATGATAGCTCGATAAAGTAGTGAGCCATACTTCGAATTTAACGTAGCCAGTGAAAAAAAGATTTGCATTAATGGTCTAACGTTGATGACTAGTTCATGATTACTGTTAGATAATGTTATTGATTATGAGGTGAATAATTCTAAATAACATTTTTGACAGCTGTTTTAACTAGAAGTGATCACTCCTAAGTATATTACTTCGTACATATTAAACCATAACGTTCTAAAACGATCTTGTTTACAGATGCAATATACCAATCAGAAGTAATCAACTGAGAAGGCCATCTGTTGACTATCAGAAATTATTGACCGATTTCGTAGAATGATCATATCATCAATTGGTCATTGTTAGACCACCATTAGAAATCTGGAAACCTGGAAGACCGTTTTGTCCTTTGGGTGCCGGCCCAGTGGCCCAGGGGCGTTCGTGCTCCAGGCTGAAAGTCCTGGTTTCGAATCCTGCAAGCTGCAGCGTCGCGGATGTGCACTGGTGATAATTCTCATACCGGGACGAACTGGTCGTCCAGTACTTCTTTCAGGTTTCTAATGGTGTCCTAACATTGATTGATTGATGATTTCAACGTGTAAAAATACTGATCTCCATAACTCTAATTGAAAAAAGAATGATGACAGCTAAATATGTGAACAGTTGAATTTTAACTCACTGATTTAATTGTATCTTTTTCATAAAGAGATTTTATTTTCCCCAGTTGGAAAACTTGTAGAGTTTGTGCGTAATTGATCAGTACTTTTCCAGAATGGAGCAGCATTTGAATGTATTCTTCATTTCAGTAGTTTGTTAGTATGAAAATGCATTACAGGGTTGTGTAGATTGTTAAGTTATACATTTTTGAAACCATGAATCGATCAATGTTAGACCACTAGTGACTAGCTTCGTGAGGAATCTTCTCCGAGTTTTAGTGAAAAGACGTGACCAGTGAAGTTCAACCTGTTCGGGTGTAGACAGTAACTACCGAAGACTGTGTATGAGGTTGCGCAACTCCGTGAATCGATCAAGTTAGACATTAACACCGTCATATACCGGCTCAGTGGTCCTATGGTTAGGCGTCCGCGCACAATACCGAAGGTCCTGTGGGTTTGAACCCTGCGGGGTGCAGGAGTCGTGGATGCGCATTGCTGAGGAGTCCCATACCAGGACGAACCGGCCGTCCAGTGCTTCCAGGTTTCTAATGGTGGTCTAACATTGATCGATTCATGGTTTCAAAGAAGTATGAAAATAGACAACGATTCTTATTTAAACAAAGTTGTTTTGTAGAAATAACTTAATTCTCTAGATGGCACTTATCAATGATTTATCTCGATTTGAGAACAGTTACAAATCTGTGAAGACAAGAGAGCTACTTAGTTTTAGCGTAGGATTTTTTATTAGTGCTCATTCATTACACTCTGTCATTACTGAATCAAGGGTTCTGTTATTTACTCAAAAGTATCTCGGAATTGAAACCCTTGAGTTAAAAACGAATCGTATATTTCTCAAATTTAGTCAACTCATAGTACAGCTCAACGATAATCCATTGACACTGATCTGCACAGGATCACTATATCTAAATCGAATTTTCAGCTGACTAGGGGTTTACTTCTTCTATGAGTCCTTGAGTTTCTGCTATGAAATGGAGTTCAGACTTATCTGGAACAAACCAGTCTTCACTAGTGACGTTCAACAACTGTCGTATCATATAACCAATTGATTGAAGTGGTAAATAGGTACCATAAAAATCTGGAACGCAGCACCTCAAACGGTTATGATATACGGTGTCCAGAATCTAATCGCCATAATAACTAACTCCCTGAGACTGGCTACATGAGAAAGAAGGTAAGAGCAGAAGAGAAAGTCTATTTTATTATTGAATACTATATACGAATACACGTCTACATATTATATATATAGACTGCTACCTGAAGATTGTGCTGATAATGTTGTTCAGTAGAGGAGCAGTGAAAAATGATCAACGAAAACATGTCAGCTTAGCTAACAAAACTCCGAATTTTCTCGACCAATGGTCGTTGAATGACCTTCTCAGTTAGATCTCTTCTGATATTGGCTTACTATATCAATTATCTATACGAATTTCGTCTTTTTCTTTTATAGAAAACTACTACAAACTCTCAATTCATACAATCATCATCAATTTCACGTTATACTACTAATAAAATTAACAGTAATATAAATGATGCTGATAAAATTAATAAGAGCAGCATGATGAGAACAAACTGTGATTGTTTAAATGTGACATTTAATTCAACAAAACATCAAATTAACAAAAATATTGATAATTCAATGAAGTTTGAACAAGAAATTGTGCCAAATTTTCACACTGCTCTCAGCCATGCAATAAGTTTGATTTTAATGGGACAGGTATGGGGTTTTTTTTTTGTATGAAAACTATTTACAATGTATACGGGTTTATTTTCTCTCTCTCGTAATTTTAAATTGAAGAATTTTTTTAAATTTATTTTCTATTGGAGAAAGTCAGTAGGACTTTTCATCGTACTTACTTACTAACTTACTTACAAACGCTTATTACCCTCAATGGAGCAAAGGCCGCCCACCAGTATTCTCCAACTAACTCTGTCCTGGACTTCCCTCTCCAGTTCTGTCCAATTTTTGTTCATTCTTCTCATATCTTTCTCTATTTCTCGGCGTAATGTGTTCCTTGGTCTTGCTCTTTTCCTTTTGCCTTAAGGGTTCCAAGTGAGGGCTAGTGTCGTGACTCAGTTAGGTGCTTTTCGCAGTGTGTGGCTTATCCAATTCCACCGCTTCTTCCTGATTTCCTCCTCCACTAGAATCTGGTTTGTTCTCTCCCACAGTACGTTGTTACTGATGGTATCTGACCAACGAATCCGAAGTATTTTGCGTAGACAACTGTTAATAAACACTTGTATCTTCTGGATGATGGTTTTCGTAGTTCTCCAAGTTTCCGCTTCATACAGTAGATGTGTCTTGACATTTTCCGATCCGCGCCCTCACATCTGCATCGGATCCACCCTTCTCGTCGATGATGCTGCCAAGATATGTGAAGGTGTCAAAGTCCTCCAAGGCTTCTCAGTCAAGAGTGATTTAGTTGGTGCATGTTGTGTTGCATCGGAGAATTTCGCTTTTTCCTTTATGTATGTTGAGACCTACTGCTGCAGAGGCTGCTGCTACACTGTTCGTTTTCTCTTGCATTTGTTGTTATGTGTGCGATAGAAAAGCTAGATCATCTGCGAAGTCCAGATCGTTCAGCTGCGTCCCGGCTGTCCACTGTATCTCGTGCTTCTGTCCAAATGTCAACGTCTTCATAATACAGTTGGTCACCAGGAGAAAGAGAAAAGGTGAGAGTAAGAAACCTAGCCTGACACTGGTCTTTACTTTGAACAAGTATGTGAGCTGTCCTCGGAACACGATTTCACAGTGTAATCCACCATAAGAATTCCGTATTATGTTGTCTATCTTCTCAGGCACGTCATAGTACCGAAGAAGCCTCCATAATGTCATCCTGTCTATGCTGTCGGATGCTTTCTTTTAATCGGTGAAGTTGATGTATAGTGGTGAATTCCATTCATTTGATCGTTCCACAATGATCCGTAATGTTGCGATTTGGTCGGTACACAGTCTGTCCTTACGAAATTTAGCCTGTTGAGACAAATACGTAACACCTTTTATTTTACTTTGAGGTAAAAAGATATAATAGACAAAGATATTTTTCATGATAGAGCTATGGAGATTATTATTTCTGATTACAATCATGAATCGATCAATGTAAGACCACCTCCAAACCTGGAAGCACTGGACCGCCCTCTCGTCCTAGTATGGGACTCATCAGAAATACGTACCCACGACTCTAGCTCACGGAAAGCCATAATCGGTGGAATTCAGCCTTGTCGGGTGCGAAGCGATTACTCACTGAAGATGATGGGTGGGGTTGATTAAAGTTAGATATTAACATTATTGCATGCTGGCTCAGTGGTCTAAAGGTTAAGCGTTCACGCGCGAAACTAAAGATTCTGGGTTCAATTCTTACTTATGAGGTCATAGATACACACTACCGAAGTTCCCATACTAGGATGGCGAAACAGCCGTCTAGTGCTTCAAAGTTTCCATTCGTAATCCAACAATCATCGATTCCTTATTTCAATCAAAAACCATACTCTTCTGAAACAGTCTTTCAAGAATTATATGCTTGAAAAATCCCTGTTTTGGCTTCAAACTCAAGAAGAGAGATGCTAAGAATTTTGTTATTCAACGAATCGCACAAAAATCTGAAAGGAATAAATTAAATTTTTCACTCAGATATAATAAATTAAGCTTATTTCTCTAAAATTATATTTTAAAGAATTTGACGCATCTCGAATAAATATTAATCAATAGACTACTGATAACATATAAGTAGTATAATACCACAAAATTAAAATTTTTCCGTTGCAAAAAAATTTCTCATTCAAATAAATACAAGTCTTACGTTGTGAGCAATCAATATTGTCAAAAATTTTTCCCTAGATTTTGTTTTTCGTTACGCTTACACAGAATTCAACAATTTTGTGAAAATAAGTTTTGAGAAGAATAATAAGAAGAAAACTCACTACTTATTTCTAATGAGTAGTATATTTTATTTTAACTAATAAAAAAAACAATTTTCTATTTTTGTTTGTAGTTTCAACAACTTTATTTCATTAATGATTCATTCAACTTAGTAGAACTGTTGAAAGTCATAACAAATATACCGCTGGAATATTTAGTTAATTATCGTGAAAGAATATTTAGACCACGTGGATTTCAAATGAATTCCAACAGTCCGACTGCTACTACAATGATGGAAGTCATGCGAACCACCAGTTCATTTTTAAACAATTCTGTTAATCAATATAATAAACTTGTGGACAAATTTGCACATGTCTATTCTTCTTATTCAAATCAATCCAACTTATCATCGTCAAAATCTTCATCAACCAGCTTGTTAATTGGAAATAGATCTGAAATTGTAAGTTAGTTCGCATTTTGTATGGATTGAATGTTGAGTTTTTTGGGGTTTTTATTATTTTTTCAATGTAACTAGTATGATGAACTTGCGACATAGTTATTTTCGCTTGAAATTCGAGCATTCTAATATCGCGTCACAGAATCTGACAGTTATATTGTTTGATAATATTTTGAAAGGATTAATAAATAGGCGAGGATATGTTGTTACTTCTTAATGTGTAAGGAGATATTCATGTATTTCAGCAAACTCGATAAATGGTATTTGTTCGCTTTTGTTCTAACTGATATGCTCGTCAGTTGGTAGGCTTTAATGTTATTACGAGTTCACCTTAGTCAGTGAACGAGAGCGAAGACAAATGATTCAGTGACACTGTGGTGCGCGCTACTTATAAGTAGTATATGACGCGAGTTTAAACGTAATGTCTGGCAGCAGAAGGTGCGGGAAGATCAAGAAAGGAAGAGTTAGAAGAACACAATGGAATTTGTATGAAACACATGAATAAGTGAAATGTCAGACAATGGATTGATGATGGATTGAAGATTTGCAAATTAACGGTTACGATATGGTTTTCATATTTTACCAATTAACTCTGTAATTTGCGATAAATACAATTCGGTTGCCCTCACCTGTGTTCTCCTTCACTACAACACGATAGGCTATTCTAATCCGTTTGTCCCCGGCACAGCTAACTATACCGAGAAGTCTTCTAGATAAGGCGTAGAAAGTGTACTCTACACGCACCCAGAAAGTACCAGGTTGACGAGTACACAAATCGAGTTTATTTATACATGATAGAAACGCCCTTGTTGAGAGCCACAAAAATAGCGTACTAAAATAATCCACCAAGTAATGACAGTCAATGATTTCTGAGTGAGAAATGTGAGCTTAAAGGTTAACTGGCACGAAAACATGGAAATTCAAAACTCCAGAATAAAATTACAAAGTTACGACCTTTCCAAGTGAATTCTGGGGATCTAACGTTGCCGACACCAATACTTACAGATGACCTTTAAGCAACCAGTACGCTATACAAAGATGAGCGAACTGGTACACTACACCTGGAGGTTGGCCTGATATTGACTAGTCCTAGACAGAAAAGAGGGACACAAGACCACCAGCCGAGGTTTCTTTATTGTATTTCAGACAATTTTTTATATACATACAAAACCAGACTTCAACACAACAATAAATGAAAAATAACCATTATGCATGGTCAAAAGGCTAGGCGTTCACTTCCAAGGCCGAAAGTCTTGGGTCCGAATCCTGCTAATGGCAGGAGTCTTTGATGCGCCTTGCTGATGAGTTCCATACCTGAACGAAACGGCCGTCTCTCAGTGCATCCAGATTTCTCACGGTGGTCTAACAATGCTTCATGTATGGTTTCATTGTGTAAGCATATAAATAAGCCAAAAAGTGGCTGTGCATAGGGGAGACAAATAAATAACTTTTATCAGGAGATACACTTGTCGACGACTTAGAATATGTCGATGACATAGTTCTATTTGGTGATGACACTGACAAAATGCAGAGTCTTCTGACTACCACAAGCAACAATGCAAGCATGTTCGTGATGAGGTTTTCCACTTCGAAATGCAGAATGTTGCTTCAAGATTGGGTTGCATCGGCACCTGAACTACTGATAGGGAGTGAAGTAGTTGAGCGTGTCAACCTCTCCACTTATCCTGGAAGTCTCGTCAGTGCTGAGCTGACGATGTGGTGTGTGGTGACATCTCGGAACAAGTACAGAAGGCTCGACTGGCCTTTGTCAACTGACGTCACTTATGGGTGTAGACGAGATATCCGACTGCTAATGAAAGGACGAGTTTACTGCGTAACAGTTCACTTTGTCCTGCTATACAAGTGTTAAACATGGCCATTTAGAATATTCATAGTTGACTAGTATTCGATCATCGGTATCTTCGAAGCTTTGCTATGTGATATGAATAACACTTTTACAGGCTTCATCTATTTCATTTCCCAGTTAACTTACTTGCTTACTTACTTACTTACTTACGCCTGTTGCCCCCCAATGGAGCATAGACCGCCGGCACCAGTTTTCTCCAACCAACTCTGTCCTCAGCTTCCCTTTCCAGTTCTGTCCAATGTTTGTTCATTCCTCTCATATCTTTCTCTATTTCTCGGCGTAATGTGTTCTCTGGCCTTCCTCTCTTCCTTTTGCCTTGAGGATACCATGTGAGGGCTTGTCTCGTGATGCAGTTCGGTGCTTTTCGCAGTGTGTGTCCTATCCACCAGCTCCACCGCTTCTTCCTGATTTCCTGCTCCACTGTAATCTGGTTTGTTCTCTCCCAAAGTTCGTTGTTGCTGATAGTGTCTAACCAACGAATTCGAAGTATTTTGCATAGACAACTGTTCATAAATACTTGTATCTTCTGCATGATGGCTTTCGTAGTTCTCCAAGTTTCCGCTCCATACAGTAGAACTGTCTTGACATTTGTATTGAAAATCCTGATTTTGGTTTTGGTTGGTTGTTGTTTGGAGTTCCAGATATTTTTCAACTGTAGAAATGCAGCCCTTGCTTTGCCAATCCGCGCCCTCACATCTGCATCGGATCCACCTTGGTTGTCGATGATGCTGCCCAGATATGTAAAGGTGTTAACGTCCTCCAAGGCATCTCCATCAAGATTGATGTGGTTGGTGGATGTTGTGTTGCATCGGAGAATTTTGCTTTTTCCTTTATGTTTTCCCAGTTAAGATATCTGTCAAAATTACTCAACTCTCCAGTTAACATGTGTAGAATAAACAAGAGCTCACTCATAAAACAACCAAAGTAAACAGTTAGCACAAAGTGACTTAAACCGGTTTAAAAAGTGTTACAACACACACACAAACTACAATTTATATGATAAAAAAGGCTAAGGACAAGGACACGATAGATGAGAATTGATTATGCACTTTAAGTAAATCAGAGTTTTATCAGAATAAATATCGATTTTCACTGATTTCGATTTACACAAGATCGATAGTTATATTCGAAATAAGCTGATCGGATTTAACTAGCTAGCACTTAGCATACATACATTAATCGATAATTCATTGTCTGCACTTAATTTACAAGTTCATGGGGCTAAAAAAATTGATTGTCTAACGAAACAGACTTGATTAATTTACTGGAGAGTTCCTATCAGCGTTGAGTGGGGCATCTTCAATGAAGCATCTTGAAAATGAAGAGTCATGTGCTACCATTTTGATTGGATGTTTATCTAAAACACTACTAGTATATTTAACACGGTTCCGGAAACTTACAAATACACGAAATCATGTTGAATTCTGTAGATAAATACTTCTGAGATTCTGTAAATAAACCAACCTTAGGATAGAGCGTTTGTAGAGGATATGGGCTCATCATTTCTGTGACGGTCGGTATTCTATATACTCCCTAAACTTCGTAAACTGCTCGTCCTGATAACCGTTACTAGATAACGCCCAACAATGTATCAATCAGAAGCCGAATACGAAGCGTTAATTATGTGTATTATCGCACCATGCTCAAATCACAAAACCACGGGCATGCGAAGTGAGAGTAAAATTTATATGGGAATGTCGAAGAGCTGGCTATCTCGGCTTCTCCACTTCGTTTCTGTTAGGATATTCATCCAATATCCTAAGAGAGTTATTAGTCAATTTCTATTGGTTAATTCCTACTGGTCAATTTTATGGTCGTCCTAGATATCAATGTCACGTGATCCAATGTTGTTTTATTTCATAGCCTACTTCCAGGTCATAGATAAAGGAGCCGCCTTCATGACAAAATAATGAGCTCGATGACAAACATACCGTAGCCCACTAAACGTTCCTTTCACATTTCATGCCTCTCTTTTGTGTTTAAGTTGTTATATGGGTGTAGTCTAGGTTTATTGGAAGCGGCTAGGGATTACCCTTTCTTAAAAATATTGTTAAATGTGGTAAGTGACTGAAGAAAACCAACAGTGTGTGTAATTTTAATCGATCATGGTCTCAGCCATCATATCGGTGGGAAAACTACAGTGGGAAGAGCTCTTGGCTTTTGATAAATAAGATATTAGATTTCATCAGCGTCCAAATGTAGCGTAGTATTTGGAAGGGAAAAGTAATAAGCTATGATTTAATCGAGCAGGAAATCTGGTTAATCAGTGGTCCTCCATAAAACCAGTTTTATTTCACAAACACTGATCAAACATCTTTTCATACAAGATATTTTTCACGGACATAGATTTCCGAATGTTTGTTCCCTTTAGTAAGCTACCTATCGATCTTTTCTAATCAAAGATTAGGAAAACGTGGATTATGAAAAACTTAACTAGTGTTTATACTACGATTATGAAGCTGAATAAGTGTTAGGAGACAGCCAAACGTGATAAACATTGTAACAACAATAAGTCCAGTCAAAACTCACACAGACAAAATGTTAGGGGAGTGTTGTAGTTTGAAAAGAAAATATGTATGAAGGGGATTATCATCTCACAGACCCTTCGGAATATCTCATTGACTGATATGGTTCATCAGTCTAATAGTTCATGATCCACAGAAATGTTATTGTTAGCGAGTAGGAATTCTAACATCGCATTACCATTAACCTACTTATATTACCCAATCAAAGGTCCTAGGTTCTATTCTTGCGAGTAGCAAGGGTCGAAGGTTCTCATTGCTGATGTATCCTAAACTAGGACGAAACGGCTGTCCAGTGTATCTTCCAAATTTCTTTCTAATGGTAGTCTAACTAAGATTGATTCATCATTTAAAAAGGTAGCTCAGCAATCTCCACCCCACTATAATGAGAGAATTACCAATAACCAATCATTTATCTTAGAATTTCTGCAAAAAAAACTGTGTTAGGGATCGGTAATCACTATTTCTAATCATATTTGTACATTTTCACTTATGACAGAGTACCAAACAAACGATTACGAAATCGGATGGCGGCAATATGTCATGTCGTGTAATGGTACTTGATTTAAGCGGGACAAGTAATGTAGACTGTGAAAAATTAAAACAATTTGAATGTTTAGTAAAAGAAACTTCTCAAGAGATGAAATGCGAGTAAGTTAAAAAAACAAACCAAATTAATTTGGTCCATTGAAATCCTGAATTAACCAATGTCAGATCATAATTGAAAATATGGAAGCGAAGGACAATTGTTCTGTCGTAGTTTCTAACCTGCGAAAGAACACATCCGTGAATTCAACCTAGTGGTGTAAGAGAACAGCGCTCACGTGTAAGAGGGCGGGTCCTGGAAACGTAAATCGATAGTGGTTGGAAACGACATGCTGAAAATCGATAAGACTGATATTAGAATGAAACCAAAAACAAATGTATTGTGGAAACCAAAAAAATGATGTTAATGGAGGCGCTGTGTAAAAAGAAACTTTTGTGAAGTTGATTGTGTCTCAGTAGACCGACGTGCAGACGAAGCGTGTGTTTGTGTGGATGAGTGTGGATTGATGAAGGGTTTCGGTGATTGAGTTGGAGAGGCGAGCGAACCGGAGTGTAGTGTGTTTGATAGGTCAGGTGGTTGCGACTTGTGTTGTTGCCCACAATGTGCATGTGGAAATATGTTTGTGTGGGTGAGCGAGTGAGTGAGTGAGTGGTCGCGTTGTCAATGCATTAAAGTGTGCGTGTGGATGGAGGTGTTTCGAGTGAGAGAGTGAGTGATGCAGTGAGAATGCGATGCGCTGTGATGCGATGCGATGCGATGCGATGCTATGCGATATGAGGTGTTGTGGTGTCTGGGTTGGAATG